TAAAAAAAATATGAACTTTTTACAAGACTTTGTAGTTATTTATTATATCATCTTTAACACATAATTATAATAGCTCTCATAAAAGCTTCGTTGAAGACAAAATGTAATTTAATACCTTTATAGATACTTTGTATTGAGAAATTATGAAAGTAACACCATTATTTTATTACAAACTTTATAATTTTATAATTTGTCTTTTTAACTATTAATATTTTGCGTTCACTGTGAAACTAAAATTATATAAAAAATATTCTATCTCTGAAATACTAGCTGCTAACATTTCTCAAATATATTATAGATCAGGGTAATAATCATTTATGAAAAAATGTGAAATAGAATTATTTACGCTGATGGGTTCATAATAGCACAGTCAGAGGTCTATCCTGAATTTGACCCTACTGTAAGGTCACTATCGATTTTCCACACATCGTCGGAAATGATAGGGGTTTGTAAAATTAGGAATTTCTCATATTTGGGTAAAACTATCTACAAACTTTGTAATTCTATTAATGAAATATAATAATAATAAAATATATGTATAAACTAGTGGTATATGGCATCGTGCCTTAAGGCAAATTGCTGGAACTTCCAATGCAGTAATGAAATATTCGATGAATATTAATGTTTTCAAATAGATTATTATGTAAACTAAGTAAGATAGATCACTGGATTATCTTCTATAATATCATACTTATTTCAATGTACAGTTTAGCTCATAGAAATTATTCTGGTATTTCTGATTGCTAAAATAAAGTGAAATAAAAAAAATGATTATTATAATACTGTAACATTCATTATTCGTATTTTATAGATAAAATATAAGGTTTTATGAATTGGATAGTGACGTTTATTTAAATTTACAATAATAAAACGAAAGTAAATGAACAGAACTTTATGAAGGGGAGTTAGAGTGAAGGATCTTATCTCATATTTCTAAGAATTATATAAACTGAATTGCAAAGTTAAAATTATTTATTTCTAGTATATAAAAGAGTTTTAGAATTTTAGTTTGAATTAAAATTGAAATCGGAATCATTTTTGATACTTAAAACAAACGGGTAAACTAAATTTTTTTTTTTATTTTGGGGGAAGAATTTTTTGCCTTGCTGCACTGCCACTTTTTCCACTCTTAGCTACTTATCCCCGAAACGTCTAGACCTGTCTTTGCCAAAAACTAATCCTTTGTTTTCTAATCATTACAAATTGATTTTTTTTGAATCATTCAAATCGGATGCTCTCCATACTACTACTCTCAAAAACCAATTTCCATTTTCTGCACTTTCTGCTTCCTATCTCGGTAACGGCTGGACCTGCCTTTGCCAAAAACTAATCAGCACGTCTCTCGATCAATAGGAATCGATTGCTTTTTGAATCATTCAAATCGGTTGATGCGTGCTCCCAAGAACGTGGACGAAAAATTGTATCCATACATACACACACACATCAATTTTTTTACGGTATGCCATAATGTTCAGAAACCTATGAAACGTAAAGATACGCAAAAAATGTAAATTTTCGACATTTGGACGATTGCAATAACTTACTCTACGGAAAGTTAATAAGATATATTAATAATTAACAATATTTTCTATTTGAATAAACTTCTTGAATTATTTGATATTCTTATTTGGTAAACAATGTTCACAATTAAAAGTATTAACCCTTTCCACTCGGATGCCGCCGCTCCGGCGACAAAATTCATATTAAGTCCAATTTTTAAATCGGAAATTTTTTACATAAAAAAATCCAATAAGTTAACAATTTTTGAAATACTAAAAATATATTTAATGGTGGATGGGGGGAAGGGGGCAGGTGTTTGACATATAATCAAAAAATTTTATAGCAAAGAATCCAAAATTTTTCAAAAAAAAATCTCAGTTTGATTTTTCTTAGCACTACAAATACACGTGATGATTGTAGGAAGGGTTTATAATTTTTAAATGTTAAAGTCCCCCAAGTGAGGTTTTTAGGGGGAGGGGGGAGGGTTTGCCAAAAAATCACGAAATATACTACAAATACACGTGATGGTTGTGAGAAGGGTTTGTAATTTTTAAATACTAAAGTCCCCCAGGTGAAGTTTTTAGGGGGAGGGGGGATTTGCCAAAAAATCACGAAATATACTACAAATACACGTGATGGTTGTGGGAAGGGTTTGTAATTTTTAAATACTAAAGTCCCCCAAGTGAGGTTTTTAGGGGGAGGGGGGTTTTGCAAAAAAAAACACGAAACATACTACAAATACACGTGATGGTTGTGGGAAGGGTTTGTAATTTTTAAATACTTAAGTCCCCCAAGTGAGATTTTTAGGGGAAGGCGGAGGGGTTTGCCAAAAAATCACGAAATATAACGTGGGGGAAAGAGGGGTATAGTAAGATATCACGTGTATTTATTTTGTAACTATTTTTTTTTAAAAACGTTCAAACATTTTCAAAAAAATTCAAAAATGTTAGTTTTTTCACGTAACTAAAAATACACGTGATGTTTGGTGGGGAAGGGGGGGTTAATTTTGAATATGATCATGTATTACCAAAGGGCAGGGGGAATCCAAAAATCCTTAAAAACTCGCTCAAGTAATTAATGGACGCCCCCCCCCAAGAGTAAATTTCCCAAAGTTCATATATTAATTTTGGTCGCTTATCAATGTTTTGACTTATCTGTCACTAAATCCCTTGGTCTGTTTATAACAGTCTCGTCAATAAATGTCGAAATATTTATAATTCATTTACATAAACAAAGTTTTATATAACAGTTTTCCATCTTGTAAGAACATCTGATCACCACATGATAGCAATATAAAACCGATATATAATATAAACGCAGCGCAACTTCATGAAGCACGCGGTATCGTAAATGTGACCGTAGAAATTATTATATAGAATTCACGTGGTACGTTGATTAAAATACGAAATGCTGATTTGTGGACGAATTAAAAATATATTTGATAAATGAGAATTATATCTGAATTGTTCGATTTATTTATAAATCGAAAGAATCGGGTTTCGTGGATAATGAGAAAGCTTTACATAACAGGAATGATTAATAAGAGAATCAAAAAGTAATTTTAATCTGCAAGTGTGTTATTGAAATATAGTCATTGTTTTAGATAAACCTATCATATTATTAATATACGTGTTACACATTCCAAAGTAGGATGTAGAAAATATGTACTGATAATTATTTGTCAAGAGAATATAAAATAATCAATATCATATTTCACAATGCGAAAGAAGAAACCAAATATAGACTTTTAAATGTAGCTTGCTGTCCTCTTGTTTATGCATATACTTGTTTAATTTTCTTATATAATTTTAGAAGAGTCTAATGCAGGGCTTCTTAAACTATGGGTCACGACAACATTTGGGGAAAGATTTTGATATCAAATATATCTTATATCATTTTATAACATCACTAGGTTTTTAGTATTATAGGGTCCGTCAGATAACTTTTTTTTTTTTGAAAATGCTATATATATAAACTACTGAATATTTTCTCAATCTAAATCTATTCTATTTGAAAGTACAATCCTTCTGGTTAATAATCAAAAATAATTTCATCGAAATGGCTGTTTAACTTTTAAATGGCTGGCAAAATGTTCTATTGCTACCAATAAAGAAAAGTTGTATGGCGGACCCTTTAGTATTATTTTTTATATCGTCTAGATTTTTGTAGTTTTACAACTAATTCTGCATGTGTATAAAAATATTATTTCTTGTTCTTTTATATTTTTGTGGGATCGTCAAGAAACTCGCAATAACAAATGAGGTGGCGAATGACAAAAGTTTAAGAAGCCCTGGTCTAATGCATTAAGGGGGTATTCTGGCCTAGAGGCATGAATTTTGTGCAACTTTTGAAAGGCAAATAATTTTTACTAGATTTTCTTTTACAAATTATTAAAATTAATGTTTTGAGTGAAAAAAATTCAAATAGTCATGCAGTTTTAATTTTCGACATATGATATGATCACAAAATATTATAGCAAAAAATCCCAAAATTTTTCAAAAAAAAAAACATAGTTTACGATTATTTTAGCACAAAAAATACACGTGATGTTGGATGAGGAGAGGAATAGTAATTTTAAATATCACCCACGGGAGGGGAGTACAATTTTTGAATCCAAAATGTTCTAAATAATAAAATCCAAAAAGTTAACGATTTTTCTAAATACTAAAAATACACTTAATGTTGGGTGGGAGTAAAGGTAAGTATTTGACATTAATTAATTTCTTTTACAAATTATTAAAATTAATGTTTTGAGTGAAAAAATTCAAATAGTCATGCAGTTTTAATTTTGAATGGTGACGAAGTAGAAGGTCTCAAAGAACTGAAATCTTATGATACCCATGATTTCAGCGAATTTATTTATTATACATATTATTAATCTAGAATAATAAAGCTACTGTATGAACTACGTACTAGAATGAGTAAAAGTTACTAAAAAAACTTTTATTGTTTTTGCACAAAATACTGACTGACAAAAATATTTTTTACAACTTTTTTGATTTTCTAGATTTTTTTTAAAAAAGTAGTTTAAACTGGAATTTGGAAGTGAAGAGAAGTTTATTAAGAGCACTATGTAAAAAATTCAAGTAAATCGATTCAGTAAAAGTTGAGAAATCGTGGATATCTTATCGAAAGACAGTTTCGGAAATAGCGTTTAAACTTTTGCAGAAAACGTAAACAGAGGAGAATTATTGTGGTTAAATAGCTATATCTCCAGAAATAATTGAAATTTTGGAATGATTTTTTGCGCACACATTCTTGAGTAGTTAAACTTTAAAAAAAATTATTTGATTTTGAAAAAAAAAAGGTTTTTTGTAATTCTAAACCAGAATACCGCTTTAAGTAGAGTTCAATGCTCTAGAGATAAATATGAATAAAAATGCATAACAATCGTGAGCTAACAGTAAGCACATTTCTATGTGGTGCAGCATATGCAATTATGTGATTTGATTTGATTTGATGAATTTGTTTGTGTAAATAATAAAAGTTCGTTCCCTCACCGATGCGGCAGAAGGAACTGGTTCGTCGTTTGGCGGCGGCCAGACGCTGTTGCTTTTGTTTCTGTTCTTGCTGTTCGATGTACCGGGCCGCTTCGAGCAACGTGTCCAGTGACATGACGCCGCCGGCCGACCTCGCCAAAATGTCGCCCCCCGCCGCTCTCTGACACGCTGACGCTCGGCCAGCACTCTGCCACTGTCAAACAGATCACTGATTTGAAAATCACGTTAGGATTCACGAAAAACTCGACGGACGCATTTTAGTCCTAGGTAACTAAAACTATAATAATATTGGAGGCACGCAAACGAGAAATGTGGTGGTGCTGCCGCTACAGCGAGCAACGCATGTGGTTGGTATCGGGATCGGGGGATACACGACGACGACGATACACGTCAGGTGTAACGATCGCGTTCTGGCGCGCGTACGCCGCGGATTGACCTATACGTCGCCGGCCGCGCGCACACCGAATCCGCGCTAAACGGCTAGAGGCGCGAGTGCCGCGAGCACGAGAGCACGGCCGCACAGCGCCGATTCAAAACAACACCATCGTGCTGCGAACGGACACCGAGGGCGAACGGAGCCAGACGAAAACACACGAACGAACGCACCTCGGATGACAGAATGAACCGTTTGATACAACACGAAACAAGCAAGCAAGCAAAGCAAATGTATATGTGTGCCAAATTCAAAAGTCCAATTTTCAACAATATCGAAAAATCGAAAATAAAACTAAAACGTACACGTGACTTTTATATGATTCTGATATAGCACGGTAAACAACAACATGACGCGTTTATCTGCAGCACGCGCTATTTAAATGTCACTTTGACTACCAGCACACGCGCGTATGTGTATGAGAAAAACACGTCAAATCGATCACTTGTTAATATAGCACAAATCATAAATTTTCAGTCAACAACACAATGAAAGCAGCTATATCTTTATTTTATATTATTTATTGAACATTTTTTTACAGCTAGTCAATTACAATTAGCACCGTTCTAAGTAAAATGACACGACGTTTCAAAAGACACGCGCGCGTCACACTTCCAAATGAGTCAAACCCGACCGAGCATGGTCCGCGACAGCAGACCGATCTCACGTGTCACACGGCCAATGGCGATCGCGAAAGCTAGTCACGTGAACGCAACAGCCAATCGCAACGCTCCGTGTGATGTAATGAGCACAGGGCGTGCTCAGGGTTGTAAACACACACTGACAATTGATATGCAATATTAGACATTCACTTAGGAAAATGCAATTAGAAATTAAAGATTTTCACTTTTGTTGCACTAATTGAAACGATATAGGCTTGAACTCGTCGATTTGGATGTGTGAAACGCGTACGACGTATCACCACCTGCGTTCTAAACAATGCACCACTGGATAACTGGCATGGCTTGTTTAGCTGGTAACTTCACTTGTGCGCACCCCCAAAATACGATAAAATAACGAATTTTATTATGCATCAGGCGAAAATTCACCGATAGTATAACAATTTCTACTATTTTCGACACAATTACAGGTAGTTCTTACCTGTAAATTGCTAATTTCAGTACACAAACACTATATTTACACGCAGAGCTGTCAACGTCTTGTCACTTGGTGGTTTCTGCCTGGGACGAGTGCGAAGCGTCACGCGTTCTCTTTCCTTCTCTTTGACGTACATCTGATATCTCGCTCGCTCGCAAACCGACTGTTGTTCTGTCACATGCACGCGGACATATTGTGCCTCGTTGCCAAATCAGTACACCGATGTACTTACATTTAATAACACTAATTTTAAATCGGAATCTACATGTGCGAATGTATATGAAAAATGATTAAATTATCGTTATAATAAAGATATAAGATATTTCAGTGGTATCAATGGCCCTCGATCGAACAACTTTCAGAAATGCACATGCGATGCCTACATGCATCGGTACATTGTTACAGATTGCAGCAACGTGCACAATTGCGCAATTCGTGAATTTCCTAATTTCAGCTACGATTATGCTTTTAATACAATAATCACGTGCTGCAAATGAATTGCAATGAATTTTTATTTCAAATCATACCATCAAATAATAATAATAAACAATTACACTAAATTAACGCACTAATTTCTTTAGCTTGACTTTTAATTAGACGTAAAAAACATTATTAAAATTTAAATATATATACAACATCATAAATTTCCATATCAGAATTTATATGCCAAATTATTATAATTTTATTATTATGGTTATAAAAATAAAACTAACTATCGACCTTTAATAATGATTTGAATTTAATTTAATTATATAGAGCTGTAACTAAATTTAAAAAGAATGCTGATGAAAACCTTTAAATAAAAAAATGAGAAAATTATGTATATATAGGGCAATACATCAAATTGAAAAATTTACAAAATCTTTATTATTTCCATACGTTTCGACATATTATCTTATGTCATTTTCTGTTAAATGTAATTTGGAATTTTCCTAATTTATAATAATAATAATAATTTACAATAACAATACTACATCATTTTTTGTCAGTTTAAATTTAAAAAAAAATTAACCAATTTAAAAAAATATATTTTCAATTCATTCGAAAATTATATTTGTTTGAAATAGTAGTAGTGTTATTGCGAATTAATAATATTGTCTTTATTACAATAGCATACGTTTTAAGTCTTGATTTGACCCATCTTTAATAATAACATATTTCTAAAAAAATAATAAATAATAACATATATCTAAAACAATTAGGTAATGAATGTTGTAATAAGTAATATGGAGAACATAACCAAAACAAATTTTGAAAAAAAACCTATAAAACTTTTAACAAACTTGTGTTTTACTTGATGATTTGTAAATTTATTCTAGAAAATAATTTAGCCTCAATTTATAAAAAAAAAATCATTGAATATATTTGTACACTAATAAAATGCAAACCAATAGGTTTTTTTTTAAAAAAAAAAACACTAATGTCTTTTTATAGAGTTATTGTAACTTATATGGGAATAAAAAATTATATAATATTTGTTAAGAGTTTATAGATTAAATAATACATTTATTTACTATAAATTCACTAAATTTATTTTAAATTTTTATTAGTATTTAAAAGTTAAATACTGAAAAAAAATGTTTTAATTTAAATTATATATATATATATATATATATATAAATATATATTATAACAGAATGAATATCAATTTTAAAAATAAAAACTTTTATGAAACTTTCTTATGTATCATATGATCTATGCCTCAAGGTTTGCTAACACTGGCCTTACTTGCTTGTGGAGGCAGCAGTGGATTTTGCTCAATATAACCAAAAACAATAATTACAAACTTTTGTCAAAAACAAGATCATAACTGTTTATATAATATAAGAAGTTCTTATAATAAAAGTGCAGTATTATTTTTACATCAATTTAAACATCACTAAAATCAAAACCTAACCTCAAAATTTCACTAAGTGAAAATGTTGAAGACTTTATTTAATCAAAGTGTACGACAAAACAGCACTAATGCCTCCTTAGTAAGTACAGTTTTTCACAATAGAAACCCTAGAAATTTAGAACGAATGAGGATTGCTTATAAACCTGATGGATGGCATGTAGATAAACCTGGACGCTCATTCTGGCACAAGTAAGTCCACTACTTATATAGTTTCAAAATATTAGATAAAGTTATGTCGTTTTTGTAGATTAGAGTTAACTGAAAGCTCTCGATATATAACTGCACGAGTGGTGCATTGGAAGGAAGGCCCTGTACTAGAAGCTAGTACGAGCGAATGGGCCATTAAGAAGCAATTGTATAGACCGAAAGATATATCTGCTTATAATAATTTAGGAAAGGTAATGTATGAGGAATATGAAAGTGAAATAACACCCTTATGTTAAGCTAGATTTTTTCTAAAACAAAATTGAAATCTGGGGTCCTGTAGACCTTTGTTATGCATATGTTGCAATAAATCATTTTGGTAGAAATTTATTTCAATATTCATCGTTTTGTTTTGTAATACTTATGCTTGGCCTCTTTACAAATGCATTTGAGAACATATCATTCACTCAATAACTATATATAGAATTCGACAACCCTTTTATATGTGAAAATTTTGTAATTTTTTTTAAGTATAAAAATCTTATTGACAAATATACATATACAACCATCATATGTACATATAACAATATTTTCTTTGTTGTTAATCAATATTTATGTTATCTTACCATACTTTATTTATTTCCTTTCCTTAGATCTTTGCACAAAGATGTCTAGAATTTGGCCTTTCTGAAATATACTGCAATATAGAAGCTGTGCCGAATGGAAAAGTAGATCAATTCTTAAAGTCGGTGGAAGCAGGTAGGGATTACAAACACTTATTTCTGTTACTACTATATTATATTTTACACTTTTTATTACATAATTGATTTTTCAGGTGGTGTTGCACTCAGTGAACCAGCAAGATTCAAGAAGGCTCAACCATGGGACGCTGACAGACCAGAAAAGCCTTGGGAAGTAACAGAATAAAAATTTATTTGTCTAGCTTATATAATAAACTCTACTTTATCCAATTTGAGTTGTTGTTTATTCATATTTATGTTTGATGTGCGCCCACAGTTTCTGAAATTGAAGTGCCAGAATATTAATTAAATAGAAAGTATTATATAATTAGTTTTAGATACATACCCCTTCATTAACTTTGTTGAACATGTATTCAGAACCTAATTCGAACGTTCTTTCGAAAAAGAACGTCGAGGCCATAATAGTGGCTACAAATGTGGAAGTCCTCCTGAATAACAAATCGTAAACACCCATTTTTTATTTAGTTTTTATATTTTGCAATTGTTTCTAAATGCCAAATTGGACTAGGTATGGTTTTTTTTTTGAGCAAATGAAGTAACGTCAAATTCGGCTTAGTTCATTCGATAGCAAAATGTGTAGCCAACACACACAAAGAAAAATTAAATTATTTCAAGCACTTAGTTACTTTTGTAAGTGAATTTCTTTATAAATACAATATCATATTTTATATATAATAATACAGTAATAAACAAAAGCAATGACCTCAGCTTGCTGTGCAATTCAAATATTTATTATCTAAAAACTAACTCAAAATTTATGAGCGATAACAATTATTTTATGTGTGTCAAACCTTCACATTAGCCATTTTGTGGCAACACTGTCTATTCGATGACACCCCTCCCCAAACATTGAATTGTCATTTCTTACTTAATTTAATTTAATAAAACTGTCACACGTTCATTGTTTTAGTGCTATTCTACTTTTTATTTATTAACTACCGGTCCTATATCTGTGCAATTTAAATTTTAGTTCATTAAAATATTAATAAAATGACCAGCGAAACGAAAAATGTAAGTATTAAAGGAGAAAAGAATTTTTTTTTGTTTATTCTAACAAAGCGCATCCTCTTTTTCCTGAAACATATGTCTTTTGTTTTAATATAATGTCTACATATTAAGGAGGGGCTGTAATGGTTTGGAATGCGGCTCCAAATTTTCAACTTATGTTGCATCTTTTATTATTGAAAGTTAACTTAAGACTGCAATGTCTGTCAAATCACAAATTTTTGATCAAGTATATTAAAGATAATTAATTAAGATTTATAAGGTATTTTTATTGCTTCAGTTTAGTTCTTGCTCCAAAAGTTTTTGGTCTTATAGTTTTTTAATTATATTCTCATAACAATAAAATAAAACAAAGTCATCTACAATATTCTTTCCCTTTTCAGTTTTCTAGTTTAGAGACTCCTGGTTATGTCGGTTTTGCAAATTTACCAAATCAGGTCCACCGAAAATCTGTTAAAAAAGGTTTTGAATTTACATTGATGGTGGTTGGTGAATCTGGTCTTGGAAAATCCACATTAGTGAACAGTTTATTCTTAACAGATCTGTATCCTGAAAGAATAGTCCCTGGTGCTGTTGGTAATTTAAAGAATTAATTGAGAATGACTAAATGACTTCTACTTACGAGTTATTTTAATTTTTAGAGAAACAAAATCAAACGGTAACATTAGATGCTTCGACTGTAGAAATTGAAGAAAGAGGTGTAAAATTGAGATTAACAGTTGTAGATACTCCTGGATATGGAGATGCCATAGATAATACAGATAGTTTTAGAGCGATATTGCAATATATTGATGAACAATTTGAAAGATTCTTACGTGATGAATCTGGACTTAACAGAAGAAATATTGTTGACAATCGAATACACTGTTGTTTTTATTTCATATCACCATTTGGCCATGGTTTGAAGCCATTGGATGTTGAATTCATGAAGCAACTACATAATAAAGTTAATATTGTTCCGGTGATTGCAAAAGCTGATGTCCTTACAAAAAAGGAAGTGCAGCGCTTGAAACAAAGAGTAAATATATTATACTTATATATTATAATCATTTTTTTTCTCTTAATAATTAGCATTTTCAATATATTTCTTTCTAGGTGTTACAAGAAATAGCAAATCATGGAATAAGAATATATCCTTTACCAGACTGTGATAGTGATGAAGACGAGGATTACAAAGAACAAGTAAGACAGTTAAAAGAAGCAGTACCTTTTGCTGTTTGTGGTGCCAATACATTGTTAGAAGTTAGAGGCCGCAAAGTCCGTGGTAGACTTTATCCATGGGGAGTGGTCGAGGTTGAGAATCCTGAACATTGTGATTTTATTAAACTGCGCACAATGTTAATGTAATAATAAATACTGAAATCTAGAAATAATTCAGCATTGGAATTTGTATTTAAAATTTGTTTCTTTACAGTACTCATATGCAGGACTTGCAAGAAGTTACACAAGAAGTACATTATGAAAATTATAGATCAGAACGCCTTGCTAAAGGAACTCCATTGCCAAAGAAAATATTGTATGTATCTATATATATATAAAAACGGATATGTATGTAATGATAAAACCTAACTTATATAAAAATTAATTTGGTCAAGGGTTGCACAACTGAAACACTTATATTTTAATGTAATAGATCAATTTTCCTAATTTTTTTTAAAATGCGTGTTTGAAAATACATGCATGCAACCCTCAATTTTCACCTTTCCAATTTTATTAATCAATTAATCATTTTTAACTGGTCTTTTGTGAATGTTAATGAAAAAGCTTAATTTTTTATTACGTATTTGATTTTTTATTTATATCATGGGATGATCACCTCTAACATGTTTCACTTGATGATGCATCTAATCAACCATAAAAGATATGTCCGCTATTTTCTCTGGATTTTTATTTATAAGTGTAACAAAGCAATGCGTGATCGGGTACAGCTAGTTCATCTATAAAATTACAAAACATATTCTTATGTAAATTTTTTAATTAAACAGATCTGCTTCCGATGATAAATCTGCAGCTGCAATAAGTGATAAAGATAGAATGTTGCAAGAAAAAGAGGAAGAACTACGCCGAATGCAAGAAATGTTGGAAGCCATGAGGGCTAAAGTTCAATTGCAGAATTGAATATCTCGAATCATCAGTATTATTTTTAACTCTTATCACATGAATGATATTGAGACTGATCTATAATCACACTTAATTACTTATCAACAGATATATTTTTATCTGTACATTAATAACTATAACTTAGTGATTTTATTAAATCCCATTAATATAAAATAGTTTATAAGATTTATTTTATACAAAGAGCATTTATATATATTTTTTATAAGTAAAAGGCATATCCATAAATTAATGTGATGCATTATTACGCCTGCCATGACTAACCAAATTATCAAACTAGAATAAGTTTAATCATTGATCCGTTGCGAACTAGATAGAACTTGCATATGCATATTTTAATCAAGATTTTTTATATTTTATAATCAATTATGCCTCGATCTATGTACAATACTATTTTTACATTATTGTAAAATACTTGAATATAATAATAAAAATATAAATTAAAATAGTGTTTATTATTAGCATTAGTCAATTAGTTTAAAATTAAATTAGCTAAGCTGCCAATTTTATAACATATTCTGTTATTATTATATTATTGGGGACAAATGTTTTACAGGTATTTTAAAAAAAAAATATTTTAGGTTTATCTTTTAAAACAATCATATATAAAATGATCTTTTAGCCTGGATGATTTAAGGGGGTATTCTGGTCTAGAGGCATCAATTTTATAACGGCCTTATAAAAAAACTATTTTTACTGTATTTTTTTTATATAAAATTAATAAAATTGAGGAAAAAATAATGTACAGAAATATGACAATATAATCAAAATGAAAATGATAAAAATAAATGAGTGGATTATATAACAAAATATTAAAAATATTAATAAATTAGAAAGTTTTAAGAAAAGGTTATGGAAAAAACAATTGGTATGATTGGTTGTACGCTAACACTTTTTCACTAAAAAAGATTTTATCAAAAGAAGTGATTTTATAAACTTCTTTTTAGACGAATAAACAAATTTTGTAATTCAAGATTTCTTTAAATTATGTCTCTTTTGAGTTTGTTATGTGAGACAAAAAGTATTATTCCCTCAATGTCATGGATAATCAATCATATAGGTAATTAATTGTTTTTTCAGTAAAAAAAAACTTGTTTAAAATTTCGTGGAGGAAGGAAACAGAGGAGCTTCAAAAATAATTTAAACTTTGAAAAAATCCTCTTGTTACACATAATAAAAAACAAAATGCTTTTTTAAAAATCCTAGACCAGAATACCCCCTTAACATAAAATCGGAGCCTTACAATATAATAGTATAAAAATTATTTAATTTAAAATATTTAATATTTATATAATTTACATATATAAAATATTACCTAAAAATAATTTTTGAATATCTATTTCAGGCCTGGTATATAATACCTACAGCCGCATCATAAATGACTTCAATATTTCAAAAAGAATGAATTAAAAAATATTCAACCAAAATCTCACATTTGTTAGGGTTCAGAATTTTCACTTGTCTTATCTTGATCTTTATCCCCGGAATAAAATTCATTTACTGGTTCTACAGCTTTGTCTTCATCAGCCTGACTGATTCTGACATCTGGATCTGGTTCTTCTTTAATTTTTTCATCCTCAGGAAATGCATCTTCTAAAATATTATAATATAGATTTAGTTGATATTATTAAAAATATAAATTGAAATTCCTAACATGCGGTGGTACTCCGACATACGAGTGACGGAACGATTCATTGCCTCGACGTACGAGCAAAATTCGAGATTTTGTATTTAAAAAAAAAAACGTTGATGGCATAATGAAAATATGGATAATTTCGTCAGTTGTAACAATAATTTTCCTGCCATAGAAATATTTTGGCTGTTTTACGATAGTATATTATTTTATAGTTAGTCATTTCAATTATCATTTAATATAATAGTAATTAAGTAGTAGAGCGACTCATGCGAATCAATCGAGGATTATTTTAACGTTTGAAATTTTAGCAAAACACAATAATAATATATATGTATGTATATCTGTATGTAAGTAGATGTGTATCTATATATGTATGTATGTGTATATACAAGTTATAAATTAGCATACCATATTATAAAACTGTAAAATAGTGAATGTACAGTTATACAAGGTGCTTAAACATAAAGCATTGGTAAAATGTGACCATTTTTCGGTCATTGTGGTTAATTTTTAATAATTCCGTTCATTTAAACTTTAGATTCGTAATTGTAAATAACATTTCTAGGACTAGAATTAAGATTTTTTTGTTTATGTCTCGCACAATAAAGCTTGAGCACAAAACAAATATTTAAACTGATTGTGAGTAAAATGCACATAAAATATTATGTTATTTTTTCATTTTTCTGAAGTAAAATTTCTTTAGGCGCGACTAGAGTGTAAATATGTGAAAGTGCAACGGAAGTTGCGTTACGCCAGAACTGTTCGTCATTCGCCCTCGATGAAATCATTTCTATACGGGTTGATTGTGATGGGTCGTCGTGTCGAGTGAGTAGAATTCTTTCGTTGTACGCGTACCGGTGCACGAGGAGATCGAAATGCCATTATATTTTAAAGTTAAATCGTAGTACAAATCTTGATTTAATAAAAAAAAAATCCTGAATCAGAAGAATATTTTAACCTGTCCCCCGTAAATAATTATAATGAAAATAATGAAACATTTGTACCGTGTACGAAACGTAAGTTTATTGAAATAATTTCTATATTATTCGTAGTTTCTATAAATCTTTGAAGTTATTAAAATGAAAAATATTTTTATAGGCAAGACAGATATTACAGCTGCTCAAAGAATGAGATTATAGTTAATTTTAATTGCATGAAGTTCTTCAAACACAATTACGTGATGAGTGAAATTGTGAAAACAATATTTTTTTAGGCATTGTTTAACATAATCCACTGTGGGAACGAATATTATAAATTTACTTCATTTTTCTAATGAAGGTTCAAGTGTTAAATGATGTATTTATTTTTAACATAAATGCCATCTCCTACAATAACAAAAAAGTTTTACTTCAATCGCGTGTGAACCTTACGCGCACTCTTTTTTTATGAAACTATTTAATTTGTAAGTATTTTACCATTTTACAACCCTTATTGCGCCAACTTTTAGTGAAGCTTGCCAACACATTATAGTGAATCTATTCTAAGCCTCTTAAAGTTGACCAATTTTGATAATGTTCAAAAGTTCATATATCAAGAAAAAATATTAATTCTGGAAAATTTGGGGCAATTGTGCAATTTTTGACTTGTGGTCCTACAAACGTTATTTACAATTATGGAGCCAAAAAGCAAATTTAATAAAAATTCACTACAGTAAGTTGAGTTGAGTTCTTAAATACTCTGTATATGTTGAGTTCGCGTTTCTTTATGTACATATTTGTTTTCATAACCATGGGTCCAAAGGGTATAACTCCAGCTAAAGGCCTTACAATAAATTATAAGCATGAGCTCTAAAAGCTTGTGGATAAAAATTATCTTTGAAAAACTTGCAACAGTTTAAACATTTGTTCTACAAAACCTGTCTAACTCATTTCCCAAATATCACAAATATTCAGGAACAAACAAAAATTAAATTATTAAATGGTAAATTTATTTTTAATATTATAAATACAAAAACCAAAGTGCAGGAACGAAATAATGGCATTTCAATGTATTTATTTGAGAAAAATTGCTTTGAGATACCAGCATGGTTACAAAACAAATTCAACTCGTATGTTGGGGTACCACTGCATAAGTAATAACGTACCTATAGATGACTTTTTCTAATCATTTATATTAACTTAATATAAGCTTTAATGGATTAATAGAATAATATATGCACTAAAATCTATCTTCATTGGTTATAATAGGTTTATATCACAGTATAAAATAGTAAATTTATACACAACATTTAGAATTTACAGAGATGTCTCCATTATGTTGGACATGTCACTTTTCCGTGCACATTTTGCACTTGAAATTCCATCACTTGATGTAAAATCGAAGTTTGAAAATGATTTTTGCTTGCTAATTTTGGAACCAGATGCATCAGGATCATTTCCATTTAGACAATAAAGCATACTGTCCGTTAACTCATTCTCACTTAAATATGGCAAATCTGGATTTGATTGAAAATCATCAGGTCTACTGGAAAAAGAATTATCAACCATCGGGCTATTTGTCATTGTACTTCTTGAATACAAATAATCTCTGAAAGTATTGGTTAAAGACTGACTGCTATCTTGGGCAACAGAATCAAATTTAGGTGATTTATCATCCTCGTCAATGCACATTTTGTTACCACTGTTGTTCAAGCACTCATCTTGGTTGCATAAAGAATTACTATCACGCTTTCTATTCATCTGAGCTAAATTGCACAGATTTGTTCCTGAAAGCATAACCAAAGGTTTTCGAGACCTTGGAGTCATAATACTCTCCTGCATAGCCCTTGACATGCGTTGTGTTGATTTTGTTATGGGTGATACTGAGGTTTCATAATTTGTACTCAAAGGTGTGACATTATTATCTCCAGAACAATTAACAGCAGGTGTGCTAGTTGAATAATTACAAATGGTCATTGTTGGAGTCCCTTGTACAGTATCTTTTATTAATTTATTGCTGTTTTTAACATTCGTGAAGAACTTAGAATGAGGTTTGATTGTTTTCGTATCGTGAGCCATTGATTTTAAGTTTCCTGTGCTGACTACACGAGTTTTAGGTTTCTTTGGTGTATCTGATGAAATCACTAAATCATTTATTTTACTAGAACTTTCAGTTAAAAAGTCTTGTGACATAATATTATTTAAATTAGGTTCTGACACATATCTTTGACTTCTACTTAAACTTGCACTTGCCAAGGATTCTTCTTCTATTAATTCTAAACCATCAATATCCATCAAAGCCTCACAAGATTGTGAAATATTAGATCTTTGGAGCACTGCATTTTCTGTACAATCTTTGTACGAAACTATAGATACATCCGTTTGAGAATCATGAATACAATTTTGGAATAATCGTGCTTTGTGTAAACCGAATGAAAGTTTTGGTGAGTGTGAATCACCAACTCCTCGAAATGGAGTCCTATTCAAAGTACTAAGACCTTTCTGGAATATATGTCTTTTGATTGAGTCCCCAAGTGAACGACCACGCATTTGTTTTTCATGATGAAATTGTGCAGGTGTACCTTGTCCATTTTCTTTATTAAACTGTTTTATAAGTTTTCTTTTCTTACTTGAGTCTGGCAGGCTTTGTATGTGTGCATACAGTTGTGCCAATGCAGTTTCTGTTGGGTTTGAAATATGAGCTTGAGCTGTTTTTTCACGGTCCACAAAAGTAAATACAGTATTTGCTGTGCTTGTTGTATCTGAAAGAGATTCATTCAAATCTATCTCTGGTGTTAAAGATTGTTTACGTTTCTGTTCCATAATATAAGCCCTGATGTCAGTGGCTAACGTTACAGGTACATAAAATATTTCTTTCACTTTGGATATCATTAAACTCACTACACATTTCATGTTCTGCGAAGTAACATGCAAGTCTTGTGGAGACAGGTGCTTTGGGCAAATTAAATGTGGTGTGAATAACGTAGCTAAGCTGTCTGGTGACATTTTGTTATTCTTCTCAAAACTAGCAGTCTTATTTAGCAAATGTAATAACGTTTTGAGTAACAAACGGTTCTTTTCAGGTAACAATAAAATCAACAATTGTATAGCTTGTAAAATTCTTATTTCGTTAGAGTCTAAATTCTTGCATAGCTCAGCTATTTGCTGGTAAGCTGCATAATGTGCTTCAGTCAACAAAGGTTCATCCAACTCTGACAAAAACCCTTTGAGTACACTTGCACAATCATGTACTGAATAATTCTCTAAATTACTTTCTGTCAAAACATCGTCTTTACTGACTAGTCCTTTCAGTTCTTGTTGTCTGACTAATGATCCTGTTATCCTAAACAGGCCTTCACTTAAAATATTTGGTTCAGTGGAAATATGCTCGAGCAAAATATATATGTTACTTAGTCCTTTCATATTATTCGAAGGTTCAACATTTGTCAAAGCTTTACCCTTCTTCTTCATTGCCCTCTTCGATCGTTTTGGCTTATCCAGCTCTTTTTCCGGAATCATCCGTATTTAAATCTAATATAAATGACAAATGCATCTTAACTAGTACCATATATTGCTCGGGATTCTCTTTTCTCAACTGCTCCACCAAAATATTATCATCCACTTCAACAGACATATTTATAAAATATATTTATAACAGATTTCAACTAAAACTTAACTTTTAGGTTTATTTTTTTATAAAACAATTAGTCAGTTACATTGTTTAATGACTTATAATAGTGACATAACGACTTATAACAAATTAATTTAACGAAATAAATTATAATTGACAATACTGTAATACGAAACGAATTTTTGATAGTTCATCTCCAAACGAGACGTACCAACATACAAGGACAAAAATATCAGCGCAACGGCAGGGATGGGTAACCTTTTTCCGATCGTTATGATTAATGAAAGAAAGTTTTTTTTTTCGAATATTATTAAATTTGATATAAAAAAATAAATATTTAAATTTCAGAAAATAATAATTTTTAATTATTATTCAAACAACAAGCTTTTGCAATAAATATAATCTTTACACAGTTTTTTTTTAAACAAATGTGTTTGAAAAATTAATTTGTCTCACAGAGCATATGGAAGTAATTAAATATAATAAAAACGAGTTATTTATTGTAATTTGAATAGGAGTCAATAACCGATGCAATAGCATAAGTAGTTTTTCTCATATTTTAGAAATAAATTCACTTAAATAATTACTTTTATGCAAACAGAATGCATATTGCAAACAATAAGCATTGTAATTTCATATTTTGGGAGTTGATAGTATTATTAACATGCATATTATTAAAATTGACATATTGTATAGTATTAACCCAAACTATAAATTTGCAATATGGTTAAGATTTGAATACTCTATTTTTTGTGTGTGTGAGATTTAGTGATACTGAACAATAAAAGATTATAGTAAATTAATATTACACACAAAAAATTATTAAAAAACTACTAACTGTTTAAAAAATTTCATAAATATTTAGAAATATTATTCAGTAAATAGAGTATTCAATGATAAGACGTTAAGTAAAAAAATATTTTTCAAATTATAAGTGAAAATTTTATATATACAGTCAACTGGAAACGCAATTCTAATACTACGCGGAGCTAAAAATACGACATCCCTCCGATAACACGGACTTCCTATTACACGGTTTTCGTTGAACAGCCCATAAGTTTTTTGCGCAATCTATGAATATCTTTAGTGACCAGATATTAAAAAGGCATTAATGTAAGCATTGTTACTGATTCTTATCTTTTAAAGAGTGTTTACATACACATGCCATATTATATCCTAGACCATATAATAATTATATCATGGATTATATTATAGCTGTGTACGGTTTCCGTTTTAGTTATGTCATAACATATTCCATAGCACATTTTGTTCCAGTATTACTAGAAAAAATTCTGAACCGTCGGCATGTAGAAAAATACTAGGAAAGACTTAAACAGAAGGTGCATATCTATTATAATAACATGCAGTGTTGAGATGTACTTAATGAATAGTTAATTATTTATTGCTTTTCATTTTGACTACTTGGCTGCAAATGAACACTTCAAGAATATATGAGAGAGAGAGAGAAAGAGTCAGATAGAATCTTCTAAGTGTGTAAGAAATAATGTATTAATATTGATACAGACTTTCTTGAATGTGTAGAATATATGTGTCCTTTCAAATCTAATATTTTATTTATACAAAGCATTACAGTATAATATCAATTTTTGAAACAATCCACTACTAATGATAGGTTTTTTTGGTCCAAGTAGGTGCTTTTCTCCAAAAAAAATAGCAGATTGTCAAAATAATAAATATTTATTTTATTTGATGCAATGATTTAAAGATTATATATATACAAAAGTGGTCCGAGTATAAATAGATTGGCAAACACAGCCGCTTTGAAATTTCATTTCAATTTTTATTCTTTCAGCATATCATAGATGTCTCCACCAGCCGTAGCACGTAAATTTACCATTAGGTTCAATTCTTGATAAGATTTATATAAGTATATAATATAGAAAACATGAACCTTATTAATTTGACTAAATGATATGAGAACAAAATATACGCCTATAAAATATATTTTTAACAAAATCACAAATATGTTGTAAAAAATATTTGATGAGAAATAATTTAACATTTTTTATAAGCGAAAAAGATATATTCCAATATATAAAATTGGTACTGTGTTTTAAAACAAACGCTGAATTTGAAGCACAGTAGCGCCATCTGTGATACGCCGAAGACACTCATACAGTGTAAAGCCGATTTGTTCCATGTTTACCCCCCATGCTAGCGCCCCCTTTTCTCTATTTTTTTTTAGTTTATCATTGAAATTATATGAAAAACTACGTATGATGGCGCTCCCTATACGATTTTTTTTTTCTATCATAGACTGTGAAGTCAATAAATATTTTCAACAACTTACTAAACGTTATTCATGTTTATTGATGAGATTTGCCATTTGCAATATTAAAATATATATTATACCACTGTGCATATACTCATACTTTGGAGCAATAATGTTTTTATCTATTATACAAGGATACCAAATTTTATATTGAAGACTACTGAATTAAGACTAAGAGGCTAGCTATAGAAACATGTGGATTTTAAATGAATTTCTAAAAACTTTCATACAATTTTTTATTGATGTAACGCCCAATCTTTAAATTCAAATAATATATATATATATATATATTAGGTGGTCCTTAAAATGGTCATTTTCGAATTTCCTTGCTCCCAGGGGCTGAAATGGTTCCAAATAGATAAAAAACAATTGTCTGAAAGTTTTAGCTCTTAATATTAACGTTTAGATAGAGCGCAATTCAATCAAAGTTTTGTATGGAAATAGCATGAAATTTTTTCAAATTTTTAAAAATGTTTTTTAGATGTGATTTAGCGAACAAATGAATGAATAAAACTCATTCATTTGTCGCTAAGTTATACCTAAAACATTTTTTTTAAATTTTCAAAATTTTTTCCATGCTCTTTCCATACAAACTTTGATTGAATTGCGCTCTATCTAAACGTTAATATTAAGAGCTGAAACTTTCAGAGAATTGTTTTTTATCTATTTGGAACCATTTGAGCCCCTGGGAGCAAGGAAATTCGAAAATGACCATTTTAAGGACCACCCTAATATATATATATATATATATAATATAAATATATATATATACATATATATATGTATGTATGTATATTAAGTTTTTCTTTTACTAACCTGGGACCATATGCATTTGCACACTTGGTGAATTGGCACACATTTTCAAATTATCGTACACATGCTTTGTAATAGTTTCCAAATACTGTTTAGTATTAGCATTATCTTGTCGTGTAGCAATTTCAGGGTGCAAACTAAAGTCAGGAGCAAAGTATTCTAAATATTCTGTTAAGGGTAGTTCATTTGAAATTTGTTCATCAACTAAGAGAGATGTTTCATATGTCCAACAACGAGCCACATTCCTCAATGTATACCTAAATAAAATGATAATTCAGTTGAAACAAAAGCCATTATTATTTATAAAATTATACTTTTACTTACCCTCCTCCTCCTACAACTAATGTGGGTACATTCAAATCTCTAACATATTTAACACAATCTCCATGCCCTCTTGTGCTCAGAGAAAAACATCCAAGACGATCACCAGCCAAAGAATCAGCACCACATTGCAAAACTATTGCAGTTGGTTTATAGAATTCCATCACAGCACTTATTACAGGTTTAAACACCTAATAATTAAATTCAATAGTTATATTACTATAGCAATTTACTAAAATCTGTAAGTTCTAAATAATTACTTGAAAATAGCTCTGATCATCAATGCCTTCTTTAAGTGGCACATTGACTGAATAATATCGTCCACTCTCAGCACCAATTTCATACATATCTCCTGTTCCTGGAAAGAAATAATTTCCATACTTGTGGAAAGACACTGTCATTACTCGGTCAGTTAGATAAAAGGCTTCTTGCACCCCATCACCATGATGCACATCAATATCGATATATAGAACCCTTGGATGGTATTTAAGTAATTCTAATATAGCTATCACAATGTCATTTACATAACAAAAACCTAAAAATAATAAAATCAGTTTAAACTAGATATTTATAAATATTGTTATAGTTATATATTTTATTAAAGTTACCGCTAGCTTCAAATTTTTTAGCATGATGTAATCCTCCACTCCAGTTAATAGCAATATCACAATGATTTTTATTTAATTTTTGAGCACCTTCTAAGGATGCCCCTGTATACATAGAACAGAAGTCAAATAAACCATCGAATACAGGACAATCATCGCCTACATTAAAATGTGACAGGTATTTTGTATATCCTAAAAATGAATATTTTTCAAACAAATTGCATAAAATGTAAACTGTTTATATATAAATAAAGCTTATAATAACAAAATGTTTTCTATATTTCAATTACTACCTTGAATATTTTGTGGAGTCACTCTTTGCAAAAACTCGATGTATTCATCGCTGTGAAATCTGCACATATCATGAGTACTTGCACTAAACAAATAACAGTGATTAGTTTAGTATATTTTGTTTTATTTAACAAGTGTTTATTATATCTTACCTATATGGGCGATAAATCTGCATCTTTTTATGCAAACCATAATTCAGAACTAAACTATGAATCACAGATAACCTATGAGGTTTCATTGGGTGCCCAGGCCCATAATGGAAATTACCCACATTAGGATTATAAAAATATGAAACTTTTCGACTCATGATTTATCACAATACTAATAAATTAATTATTAAAAAATATACTCCTTTAATATGTATATAAAAGATAAAACAATGACTATAACTAATAATTTCTTAGTGAGTTGTATATCATTTTTCATGGTAAAATTGGATTTGGTTAACTCATGGTGGACGTCATTTTTAATAAATAATTAAATTTTAAAATACACTTATATTAAAGACCCGAATTAAAATATATTTGGACGTATAAAACACTTTTAAAAAGTTTTGAAGTTTTGCTCAACAAGGTTGACATGTTAATAATAAACAATGCCATAGAGGCCACTAAATATAGATCTGATACTTATTTAAAATATAATATACCATAGATTAGTGATGTCCACTCGAATGAAGTTCTTAACAACTGAATAACTGTAAATCAAATAATAATATAAAATACAGATAAATAAACATAAATATAATAATAATATTGATATAAAAGGTAAAAAAATGAATTGAACCATGCCAAAATTCAACCAACTCATTCGAGTTCCAAATTAAATCGAATCATTCGAGTTACTGGCATGTTTCGTGTTGAATCAAATCACTCGAGTTACTCGTTGATCCGAATTGAATCGAATCTTTTGAGTTACTTGCGTAATCCGAATTGAATCTATTCATTTGAGTTACCTGCATACATAGATAAAAGAAGAGTATATAGATCGATAGCCATTCGATGTATTTCGATGTTAAACTTTTTGTCTACATTTTAGCCCATACTACCGAATCGATTTTAAAAAATCAAAAATTGTTTCAAAGATGTTAGTTGAGAATGATAGTAATTGGTTTTATGTGAAATTCGACCGAACCGTTTTCTTGCAATTAACTGTTGAAGGAAAATTTTAAGCCAATTTTTATGAAACATTTTTGACGGTATATATCATTGTCTTATATAACGTACTGAAATATTACGGCCTTACGACAAGTAGTTTAATTTCAAAAATTTATCAAAGTTTGAGAAAATGAGTGGTTTTTTGAAGTTTGTTAAAATTAAAATTAGATAATTTACTTGGTATAACGATAGAGTACTTAGTCTTAATGAACATACTTAAACCATTAAAGTCCTACGGAAATTACACATATCGAAAAGTTCATGTAACTTGCCTTAAGGCAAAATACCAATACCAACTAGTTTTAAATAATTTTTGTAATATATTTTTTGATAGTAAATTATGTTAACAATCTTCACGTTGCTAAATAAACTAAACAATTTATATCATAAATTTTGATTACATTTACTAACTAAATATATCGATAGGTTTTAGTTTTTTTTAGCTTTTATTTCTTCACATAAAGGCTGAATTCGAGTTGATTCGAATCAGGGTTTTTCTAATTCGAATCACTCAAATCAGAAAATCGAAATTTTCGAGTCGGCACATCACTACGCATAGATATTTAAATTAAATTTATATGAGTTTAAACTCTCTAAACAGGTTATTAATTATGTTTTTCAGTAATACATTCAATTAAATTTTAAATGCAGTTATTAGACTTAATTAAGTCATTTTTGCAAGCACATACTTTTTGGCGTGTTATATGAATAATAATGCAATAAAGTTACTGACGACATTTGAGTTATACTTATACATTTGAAAATATAAAAACTAAGCTATTCAAAAATATTTTGTAAAATACATTTCACTGAATAAATATTGGAAACTTGAGCAAGAAATTCTATATTTCTCATTAATGTTTCAAACATTTTCAACTGTCAACACCTGGTGGCATTCATGCGAAGCTCCCGTTCAAAAAATAGAAAAGTAATCGAAAAGTCTTCTCTTCTTTGCCAAAAGCGAAATCGATTATGGTGCCGCAGAGCAGTTTGGGTACAAATATCAAGATGGCGGGAGCGTCATCTGTGCTGTAAAAATTCAATTTTATACATCGCTGTTATTACAAAATGCTAACAAACACGTAATTTTTAGATTTATAATTACATACAGAAAACTATGATAATTTAAATTAGAGTGCAGTGATATCAGTGACATAATTCCTTCTCAAAAAATAATTACCTAAAAGAAAAATGTTCGAAATGGTAAATGAGTTTTTTTGTTTTGATGTGCAGTTCACATAAGAGTTTTATTAATTAATTGATCCTTAAACGCGTTGAATGCTATCTGAAAATGACTAAGTTATAGGGTTTTACGTTTCAAATCAGTCTGGAATAGAATTATATCGATTCTTCGTGTAATTTTTACGTTTTTCTCAATAAAAAGATTATAACCAAAAAAAGTACAAAAAATCATGACAAGTATTGACTCAGTACTTCTCATTGCTGTATTCCTCATTTGATTACAGCATATAAATACTTTTTAGAAATAACATCTTATTTCGAACTCTGATTAAGGGTGTGGCTTTATTGATCATTTGTCCTTAATAAATATTTCATGTATCATTAATAAATAATTAGAACTTTCAAATACATGAGATATTGTTCATTTGTTTATTTATTTTTGTAAAATTTAGTTCTAATGATAGGATAAAGGTAAAAACGTGAATAGTAAATACAAACAATTAAAAACATAATTTAATAATTAATTGAACAATTTTATAATATATAATTCTGGCATGTGTGATATAACTGTTACTCAATTTGCAGTCTAATAAGGAATCATACATGAAGAACGACAGTGAGCATAATTCATCTGACTCAGAATTGGATGAAGATGAGGATCCTGATAAAATTGAAGTACCAGGTAAAGCTTTGAAATAAAAAAATATATATATTTTTTATAATACTTTTTTATTGAAAAATTTAAGGTGGCGGGAAGACTTTGGCAGCTTCAGCCAATTTGCCACGAACTGATATTAAGCCTGATCCATTTGCAAACTTTAAGTCTTCTCCTAAAATACCGGGAGGATTGGTCACAAAAGGCAATACTCCACCAGGTTATGAAATGGTCAGAATGCCAGGGATAGGTAAATTCTTGGACTTTGCAGTACTTAAAATTTACTGCTATATATAATTTTGTTTATTATTAATTATTGATGATTTAAGATGTATAGATATAGATACATTTTTAGGTTAGATATGCTAAGACTTTTTTTTTGTTTTTTTAATAGTAAATATTATAATTTTATTTTTAATAATAAAAAAAACCTTATGAAAATCTATATACAAATATTATTTGCATTTTTTGATAATATCGAATTTACATTTTTTTTCGGTTTAAGCACATGTTGTCTATGTTGCTTTTTTACAACAAACTTTATTTTTTATTTTTTCAATTGTATATTTTGCCCTCTACTAAGTTAAAAATCTGTTATTTTAGTAGGATCAAAATTTTATTTCTATATATATGTATAAATATTAATCAGTTATCATTTAAGCATCTTTACAAGTAGTGTTACAACTTTATTCATTTAATAAATGATCATTTTTATATTTGTTAACTATATTTTTTGTTGTTTATTTTATACACATTGTATTAGTTATGTGCAAAAATTAACATCAGGTTAGCCTTACTTTATAAAATTTTTGTTATTAATTTTTATGAAAAAAATCAATATTTAGTGTATAAAATTAATATATTTTAGGCAATTCTCCTTTTGGGATGGGTGCTGGTTATATGCCACAAACTCAACCTGGTCAAATGGCACCAAATGCCGGACCAGGAATGTCACCATTTTTTCAGCAAAATATGAACCCAATGGCTGCGTCTTTGCTCGCGCAGAGTAAGTTAAAGCCGAATAGTGAGTGTCATTTTATTTTTTATTTTTGTTATATCTTAAGTTTAATTTATAAGTATTTTTAAGTAACAATATTTAATATTCATTTTTAAATATAAGCAAAGATGAAGTCAGTAAGTATGAAAGATTTGTTAAATTATCTTTTGGGCTTTAGTTTTTTCATAAAGCACAAGATAAATACCTATCATATTTATTTTTGTTCTGAAAAATATTTCTTTATATGTATTATTTTTGCAAATATGTAGTATAAATTAGAACTTATTTTATTTAATTCGAACTTTTTTCTAAACATATTGCAATTATCTTGTACATTGAAATTTTTTACACTTATTTTAGTGGAAATGTCAGGGTTAATGGGAATGGGCGGTATGAATCCGCTGCTCTTACAAAATCTGAGCAGTATTTTAGCTCAGCCAAATTTTCCATTGAATCAACTATCCAACCTTGTTAACATGAATAATTTTGGAGTCGGTAACATGCAGAATCCTTGGATGCAAAATGTTCCTGGAAAAATGGTGTCTCATATGTGGGGCGAAGGCAATAAAGTAAATAATTTATAAAATACAACAAAGAGATAAAACATTATCACAGTGCCTTTACTATAGCAACATTTCAAAGTTGATTTGCTTATAAAGTTTTATTTTATGTTTATATAGATGCATACTCAAGAAGAAGAAGAAGGAGACGATGAAGAAATGGGTGTTGCGGAAACATATGCAGAATATTGGCCAGCAAAACGTATGTATTTAAATATTAAAATAATAATTTGGATTATTATAATAATTATTAATTTTTAATTTGCAGTTAAGCTGGGCAAAAAACATCCTGATCCAGTTGTTGAGACTGCATCATTGTCCTCTGTCGAGCCAGCAGATATTAAATATCAACTTTCTATACCAAAAGAAACAATTGAAACAGGACAACTTAGTGCTTTACAATTAGAATCTATTACATATGCATCTCAGGCGCATACACATATTTTGCCTGATGGCACAAGGGCTGGATTTTTGATAGGTAATTTTTAATACTTTTATTTTGATGAAAGCAAAAACTTTATTTCCGAAAAAAAAAAGTTATACCATCTACATAGTTAAAATTGCCACTTACATCTTGTTTAATATTGTAATTTTCAGGTGACGGTGCTGGTGTCGGCAAAGGTCGGACTATAGCTGGTGTAATTTTTGAAAACTACATGAAAGGTCGTAAAAAAGCTATTTGGGTTTCTGTGTCGAATGATTTAAAATACGATGCGGAAAGGGATCTTAAAGATATTGGTGCTAGCAAAATAGAAGTACATCCGTTAAATAAGGTTTGTATATATATTTTTTTTAAATATTAACAATCACTGTATTTATAATTTGATTCCTGAATTTTAGTTTAAATACGCAAAAATATCATCGCCCGTAAACGGTAATGTGAAAAAAGGTGTCATATTTTCCACATATTCAGCATTGATTGGTGAATCCAGTTCTGGAGGCAAATATAAAACTAGACTCAAGCAGTTGTTGCAATGGTGCGGAGAAGATTTTGACGGACTTGTATCCTTTTAAATTTTCAACAAATTGCAATGAATGAATGAATGATTTTCTATTTTTCTTAATATAATTACTGTATAGATTGTGTTTGATGAATGTCATAAAGCAAAAAATCTATGTCCCGTGGGTTCAAGTAAACCAACAAAAACTGGCCTAACTGCTTTAGAATTGCAGTCAAAATTACCAAAAGCTAGAGTCGTCTATGCTTCTGCGACAGGTGCTTCTGAGCCAAGAAATATGGCTTATATGGTTCGATTAGGCATTTGGGGAGAAGGTACTCCGTTTCCTTCATTCAATGATTTTATTGCAGCCGTTGAGAAAAGGTAAGAGTATACAATTTTTTTTTTAACTTTTTGTAAGGGGAGGTTTATGTTTAGTGAAAAAAAAAACGATTATGTTTTATGTTTTCTCGACGTTTCATGTCATTTTGAATTGTATGAGAAAAAGTTTGGAAAAAGTATTGTGTTTGTATGTATGGCTATATGTGGGTATGTGAGCCGATTTGTGACTTTTTGTCAACGTTGTCTCAAAATCGATTTCAAAGCCATTTAATGTATCTTGATGAGGATTATTGTTGCGCGACGATCGGCCAAGCCGTTTCTTTCTGATTAGCAGAAAAGTTTTCGTCCACTTTTTGTTGATTAGTTTGTGTGTAAAGATCGTCCGAGCCATCTTTTCGTAATTAAATGTTGAAATTTTTTAGTAAATTCTAGTCTGAAACAAGATATTAAAAAAAATATTAAAGGCCTACGAGAAGGGGTTAAATTTGTGGGGCTACTGTATGGGTGTTTTCAGCATATAACAGATAGTGCTAGTGTGCTTCAAATTCAGCGTTTGCTTTAAAACACAGTTTTTCTAGATATAGTACACGTACTTTAAACGTTCAAGCAATTTTATATATTGCAATATATCTTTTTTGAATGAATAAAATATTTAATTTTTTCTCATCATATATTTTTTACAACATATTTGCGATTTTGTTGAAAATATATTTTAGGTTTATTTTTCCTATATTAAATATTCAGATAAGTCTTATTTAGAATTAAACCTAATGGTAAATTTACGTGCTACGGTTGGTGGCGACATCTATTGAATGCTGAAAGAATTAAACTTAATGTAATATCAAAATGGCTGTGTTTGCCATCTATTTATACTTGTTTATCTATGGTTAAATTATAAAAAATAATAAAAGTTCAGAATTTCGCCGCGCGCTTAAGCGATTCTAATGGAATCTATGCCGAGCAAACATGTACGTTCCGTGTTTCGCATGTATCTATTGATCACAGTTGACGTCCACACTCAAATAAATATAATATATATATTATATAATTCACATAATATGTAATAATTGATTGTATTTATATAATTTACATTATATTTCCTTTTCGACAGAGGTGTTGGTGCAATGGAGATTGTTGCCATGGACATGAAATTAAGAGGGATGTACATAGCGAGACAGCTAAGTTTCCACGGTGTAGGGTTTAGAATTGAAGAAGTACCTTTATCGAAAGAGTTCACGAAAACTTATGATATGGCTGTGAAATTATGGGTAGAAGCTATGCAGAAATTCACTGAAGCTGCAGAATTGATTGATGCTGAAAATAGAATGAAGAAAACTATGTGGGGGCAGTTTTGGTCGTCTCATCAAAGATTCTTTAAATATCTTTGTATAGCAGCAAAGGTAAGCTAATTTTAATTTATACTTGGCTATTTAAAAACATTGGAATTTATTAATATGATTGCGATTTCATTACTTTTCAGGTTAATCATGCAGTAGTTGTAGCAAGGGAGGCTGTCAAATGTGGTAAATGTGTAGTTATTGGTTTACAATCCACTGGAGAAGCTCGAACATTAGAACAATTAGAACGAGATGATGGAGAGTTGAATGACTTTGTTTCAACAGCTAAAGGTTAAATACATTAATTGAAGAAACTGAATAGCATATGACTTTTCAACATATCGATAACTTTTTTATTTATGTTTAGGTGTCTTACAAAGTTTAGTTGAAAAGCATTTTCCTGCTCCTGACCGAAGTAGAATTCATAGATTATTAGGCATTGAGTTACCTGCCGCTAAAAAATCTGGTGCTAGCGTCAGCAAGCCTGCAGATAATGAAATTGCAGGTGGATCAAGTGGGAAGAGGAAGCCAAGTATGTTTATTTAATATTAATTAACAATGTACAAAACCATACTTTATCTGCAACTTTTATAATTATTACAGTGAGACAAGCTGCTGCCAGAGCAGCTAAAAGGACAAGAAGATCCTCTTCAGATAGTTCAAATTTTGACTCTGACATAGAACAAATGAGAAGTTCTGAATCCGAATATAAAATGACGGGAAGTGACAGTGCTGAGAGTGATCATCAATATGACAGCAATCAAAGTAGTGACTTCAACCCATTCGAGAGTGATTCTGATAGTGATGCTGATCCATGGGTTAGTGGGCGCAGTAAAAAGAAAGGAAGGAAAGCTAAAAAGCCAGCTAAGAAAAGACCAACGACGCAGGATAAAATACAAGAACTTTTAACAAGAAAAAATGATGCTGTTAAAAATTCAAATATGAAGTTTTCCAATGGCAGCGTGCTGCCCGGAGTTTATGGTCAGCCAACACCACAAGCACCCCCCAAGGATGCTATTGAAAGAGCTTGTACTATGAAGGAGGAATTACTGGCACAGGTGATTTTTGGCTTACAAATAAACATTTTGTTACCTCTAAGTTGTTTCTGAAATAATTATTTTATGTATACGATTTCTAAATGAACATTATACATTTATTAGCTGGGATAAGCTTTTTAGCTTATTTAGATGTCAACTTTAAAGTATTGTATGTACACCAAAATAGCAAGATCTTAAAATGTTCTTGATTGACTTTTCTTTCAGAATTCTTATATTTCAGTAACATATATTAAAAAAACAGAGCAAGCCTAGAGTAATAATATATATACTAACTTTTTATTTGTATCTTGAGTATCTGAGTATATTATACTGAATATTACAGATTGAGAAACTCGGTGAAAGGCTACCTGCAAATACTTTGGATCAACTTATTGATGAGCTAGGTGGGCCTGAAAATGTGGCTGAGGTAAGTTTCTTTTATATCATCAACGATTAAATTATTATGATCAGTTATTAATTTCCCAAAGGAGAAGTTTCTTTTCTCCAGAAAATCCGATTTGCTTATTTTACGTATTCTCGGCGTTTCTTTATATTAAGAATAATTAGAATTAAGAAAATCCGATTTGCTTATTTTTCGTATTCTCGGCGTTTCTATGGTTACTTAATTTTATAATCAAATCACTTTTGTAGGACCAGATACTATAATACTATAATACTTTCATTGAAATCGTGAAAAAAAAAGTCTTTTACAAATCAACCGATCTTTGTCGAAAACTAATCAGCTTAATTCCCAACCAATATCTTTTAAGTAGTTTTGAATTTTCAAAATTGATTTAGTATTTTTGGCTAAAACATGGATAAAAAACTGTGTGTTTGTTTGCTAATTCTAAAGAAATGGCTCAGCCCATCAAATCACATTGAATGGTTTTCACATTTTTAAAGTCAGTTTAGCCGTTGTTGAGAAAACGTTGACAAAAGGTAAAAAATTGGCTCACACACACACGTACTTTTTTCAAATTTGTTCTCATTCTTTTCAGAATGGCTTGAAACGTCGAGAAAATATAAAATTAGCAAATCGGATTTTTCGGGAAAACTTATTATTAACATTCTTATTATTTACGCTGCTTTTTTTATCTACACAAATAAAGTTCGTGCAAATTCCTTCAATGTAACTTTCCACTTACATTTATTTTAATTTTTTGTTGTTTTTAGATGACTGGTCGCAAAGGTCGAGTCGTTCAAACAGAAGATGGTCAAATTCTTTATGAATCTCGGTCTGAAGTGGACGTACCTTTAGAGACTTTAAATTTAACAGAAAAACAACGATTTATGGATGGCGAAAAGGATGTGGCTATTATTTCAGAAGCAGCATCCAGTGGTATCTCGTTGCAGAGCGATCGACGTGTTAGAAATCAACGAAGGCGGGTACACATTACTTTGGAACTGCCTTGGTCGGCCGATAGGGCTATACAACAGTTTGGACGAACACACAGATCCAACCAGGTTAACGCGCCTGAATACATATTTTTAATTTCCGATTTGGCAGGAGAGAGACGTTTTGCTTCTACGGTAGCTAAAAGATTAGAATCTTTAGGAGCGTTGACACATGGCGACAGACGCGCCACCGAATCAAGAGATTTGTCACAATTTAATATTGATAATAAGTATGGCAGGAGCGCTTTGGAAGCTACAATGAAAACGATAATGAAATATGAAGCACCTTTAGTGCCGCCTCCTCAAGATTACAAAGGAGACTTCTTCAAAGACGTTGCCGATGCTTTGGTGGGAGTTGGACTTATTGTCAATAGCGAAGCTATGCCAGGCGTGCTGTCTTTAGACAAAGATTACAATAATATATCCAAGTTTTTGAATAGAATTTTAGGTATGCCTGTTGAATTGCAGAATAGATTATTTAAATATTTTACGGACACACTAACAGCGATCATAACACAAGCAAAGAAGTTAGGACGATTTGATCTGGGAATTCTAGGTATGGACTACTATTAAGCATTAAAATTTCATCATGCCTTTTGTATTAATGAAATTCAATTGTTTTGTTTAGATTTGGGTACTGCTGGTGAAAATGTAAAAAGAATTAAGCTGTGGAGATTCCAAAGAAAACATGCTACTGGTATTGCACCTACTGAGCTACATGTTGTACATGTGGAACGAGGGATGGCTTGGCAAGAGGCTATTGATAAGTAAGTTTTTATAATATTTATATAAACGTTTTTAACACGTTCGCGCCGGCGTGGGCCACCGGTATACCACGGTAGATTGTCACATCGGGCGCGATACTCGTGTGTGTGTATATATATATATATATACCACGGTAGATTGTCACATCGGGCGCGATACTCGTGTGTGTGTATATTAAAACCAGCCATTTATTGTTCCTTGTTTTTATTTTTAGGTGGTCTGATTTGACAGGGCCGAAAGAAGGTTTCTATCTATCACATCAAATAAGAAATGGTAAACAAACTGCAATTCTTCCGTAGCTGTGGATAACAATTCCAAGAAAAAAACTGATCTCGTCAAGTCCAAAAAGGATCAATTATATCAAGTGTATAGACCGAATACTGGCTTGCAGTTCAGGAATGAGACGCTAGGCGAATTGGAGAAGAATATAAAAAGGTAATATAAAATTATTAGTCCTTGTTGAGCATTATCTTCATATCAAGAGTTTTTTTATCCCAGGTATCAACAGATGATGCCCAGCCCCACTGGACAGAACAGTATGAATCTTCAGTGACAACATGTTCTCATGCATACTGGAGAGGCAATTGTCGAAATGTCACACTGGGCCATGATTGCGAAGTCGGTCTACGAAGGCGTTCCTATAATGTGTTAGCTGGAAGTGTACTTAGTGTTTGGGCTCGTGTTGAGAATGTGTTGCAATCGAAGAGCGCTCACAATAACAAAATGCAAGTCATACGTTTGAAGACAACGGAAGGTGTTAAAATTGTCGGTAAGTGTCATTGAAAATATTTGAAAACAGTGGTACCCTGGTAAAAAGTTTTTTTAAATTTTTTTTAAATTGTTTATTTGTTAACCTTGTATACACGTTCATAAGTCATATACATTTTATAAGTTATCTTTACACTTTTATGTTATTTGATTGTATATAATTATATATTTGCGCGCCTTATATCCATTTCTTTGTCAAGAGTGCACATTTACTGTACATATATATATATATATATATATATATATATATATATATTTTTTTTTTCGGCGATTTTTTAAAACCAGCCATTTATTGTTCCTTGTTTTTATTTTTAGGTGGTCTGATTTGACAGGGCCGAAAGAAGGTTTCTATCTATCACATCAAATAAGAAATGGTAAACAAACTGCAATTCTTGCCGTAGCTGTGGATAACAATTCCAAGAAAAAAAACTGATCTCGTCAAGTCCAAAAAGGATCAATTATATCAAGTGTATAGACCGAATACTGGCTTGCAGTTCAGGAATGAGACGCTAGGCGAATTGGAGAAGAAATATAAAAAGGTAATAATAAAATTATTAGTCCTTGTTGAGCATTATCTTCATATCAAGAGTTTTTTTATCCCAGGTATCAACAGATGATGCCCAGCCCCACTGGACAGAACAGTATGAATCTTCAGTGACAACATGTTCTCATGCATACTGGAGAGGCAATTGTCGAAATGTCACACTGGGCCATGATTGCGAAGTCGGTCTACGAAGGCGTTCCTATAATGTGTTAGCTGGAAGTGTACTTAGTGTTTGGGCTCGTGTTGAGAATGTGTTGCAATCGAAGAGCGCTCACAATAACAAAATGCAAGTCATACGTTTGAAGACAACGGAAGGTGTTAAAATTGTCGGTAAGTGTCATTGAAAATATTTGAAAACAGTGGTACCCTGGTAAAAAGTTTTTTTTAATTTTTTTTAAATTGTTTATTTGTTAACCTTGTATACACGTTCATAAGTCATATACATTTTATAAGTTATCTTTACACTTTTATGTTATTTGATTGTATATAATTATATATCCATATTTTTGCGCGCCTTATATCCATTTCTTTGTCAATAATGTTATAAAATTGGTTGGGAGGGAGATTTTTTGCCTTACTATCTCCCTCCATAGTTTTTGTCTACCCTTTTCTCATTTTTTCACTCCATAATGGTGTCCACGGCATCCGCCATAGTCGCTCCACCCAAGCGACCCAAGGTAAAACGTCCAAAACAGCAATATTTCTACTGTATTAAATTTAAAATATGATAGTTATCCAGGAAAATAATAAAATATTGTAATTATTGTAAAATAATATTTTATAATTGTTGAGTTTTTTTATTTTCCAAGATTAAATAACAATCTGTTTTTTAATAGCATTCAATAATTATTATGATCTAGTATAATATGCATAAAGTTAGAATATAAATTAAGATTAATCAGTGGTAAACTGTATTTTGTTGATTAATAGTATTGTATAAAATATTTTGGCGCCGATGTCACTTACAAAAAGCTACATCTTTACATAAGTGGAAATAAACATCAATATTTATTAGTCCGATACTATTCATTAATTAACAGAATTAATATGAAGTTCTTTGGAAACCAATAAATATTCATTTTAATGGATGGCTGGTTGAGATAATATTTGGCACTTGTTTATACAATAGAACTATTCAAAAAGACTTTTGTTAATTATGAGATATAAGATTTAAAGTTTTTAAATGGTTCTGAGAACCTCAAATCAAGTGAGTATTGTCTATAACCGATATTTTAAAGGTAAATACCAGTATTAACATCGTCCAAAATTTAGAGGATATACCGTTTTTTTGGCACACCGGTGTTGCATTCTCTAGATCCTAATATTTCCGTCCTCATATTTTCACATTTTTCAATAATTTTCTCTCAAAGCACGTATCTCGAGTTTTGCTCGTATGTCGTAGCAACGAATCGCTTTTTGGCAGCCTATCTTGTATGTCAGGGCGGGGTACTACTGTAATTTAAAAACTTATAGTCTTATAGAAACAAAAATCAAATATTTTTTTCCTAGGTACTCTTATACCCAAAATCTGTGTCGAGCCCTTAAAGCAAGCGTTGTCTTCAGATGCCGAAAAGGTTGAAGAAGAAAACTTTTAATTATAAGAATATCTTAGCCAAGTACAGCAATCATACTCGCTTTACAGAAACATCATTAAATAATTATCTATATAATAATGTCATACATAATTTAAGAGCAAATGTGTGAAAACTACAAAATGATGAAAGCCAAGAAAAGATGTGCGAATGTGTTGCTGTGTGTCTTTAGGTGTGACGTGTGAGATTGTTTGTGAGAACATTTATATCAATTATTTTACATTAAATGTAATAAGTGATTTTAATTTACTATTTATAATATGTTATATCATAGTTCTTATGTATATTTTATGTGTAAGGTTTGATGATTAGATATCGATATTGGATGTAAAATGTCACCTAGCTTTTATCGCGCAATATGTGTATATTAGTTTTTTAACTCGAGTAATTTTTATGAGTGCTGCTGCATTGCTAGGTGATGAATTCTTTTGTATCTATTTTGTAACTTAAATGATTTACGTTTAAGGGGATGATATAGTTTTATTTATGTTTGGTTGAGTTGTTGACATTGTTGGGAAACATTTTTGAGGCACAATCCTTTAATCATAACTTACCCAGTTTTTTTATCATTTAACGGGCGTGGACCATAATCGTTATAAATATACAATTAATTTAGGAAATTAAACTTTATTAGAAAGATTCTCTAACCAATTCACACATCCACTGAAAAAGAGAACGAACCTCAAGTTCAATCATCTGGGATTTTGACATTGTACAGAGTTGATAGTAGAAACAAGCTCTTTAAAATATTAGAGGTCTATGAAAATTATTTTAATTATAAAGATTAATTAAAGTTTTCATAGCCTATAATATTTTGAGGAGTTTGTTTTTACGTTTTTTAAAATACGTTTTTGTTGGTTAGAAAAAAACTTGCAATTGTCTAAGTCATTAATGAAGTTTCGATCAATTTAATAAAAAGTAGTAAAGTGGTAACAATGAAAAATGTTGCGCCTTAAAAAATGTATTTAGTACTTTATTCAAATATTTTTTATTATTTTTTTAGTTGTGCAACAAATTATCAATGAAAATTATCGAGAGTTAAAAGAAACAAAATGAATTATTTTAAAGTTTTTGCCTGTTGTAAATATTTTTTTTGTAATACGTTTTCTGAAAACAATGAAATATTATAAGAGGTGTGAAAAGTTATAAGTAGTGTATTTTTTTTTTTTTTTTTAACTCTCAATAGCTTTCATTGACAAATATATTGCAAAATTAAAAAAAAAATGAATTTTTTTTAAGTTTTTTTTTTTTTTTTTTTATTATTACATAATTAAATCACACATTGTTCAATCAAATTATTGGTTTTAAAATATGATATATAAATGAGTATACATTTTATTCTAAACTTATTTGAAACAAAAAACTAAAATATTTTTAACGCGTTAATCGCCACATCAGTTAAAAAAACAAAACTGTTTCTTTGATGCATTATATATCCTTGATACATTTTTTTTTTACAAATTTTTTCTGATATTATTGTGGTGATTAACGTGTTAATATTGTAATAAGAAGTAACTTGAAGAAAAAGTTTAAGAAAACTGGAGGCTGTCATAGTAAAACATGATATACATTTCAGCTTTTTTATAATTTAATTGACGAAGACATTGACAATTATTGCTTTATTCTTATACATACAAGAATATGTTATTTTAAATATTATAATTAACTCAGAAGTGCTTATAATAAAGTGTTTAATCCTCCATTTTATTAATCAGTAGCTTAAGTTTATGTTATATGTATTAATTTTGTTTATTATTCAAATTTGAATCAATGATGAAATTTAAATTTTTGATAAAAGTTGCTGAAATCATCATCTATTATATTGTTGTAAATTGTCATTTATTGATGCTTATGTAAAATTTGAATTAATTCAAATTATGAATTTAGTATGAATTATTTATACAAAATGGTATTGTTTTGTAAAATTTGAATTATCTCCAAATTATGAATTAAGTATAAATGATTTATACAAAATAGTATTGTTTTTCAAAGTACTCATTTTTATTATTTTAAATATTATTGTAATTGTGTGCATTGAATTTTTGTATTAAAAAAATCATTTTTGCACTTGAGTGAACCACATGATAAAAATTTAATCAATTTGTGCCACGCGAGCACATTAAATATGCAAAAAATATATTTATGTACATCTTATATTCGTGGATAATTAGAATGGTAAATAAATAATCAGCTAAGACCAGATATTAACAGACTCAAAATTATGAATTACTAAAATTAATTAATTGTTTGGAAATAAGGCAGGAATTAATTATTAAAGTTTTGATAGAATGAAATCAGTCTGTAAGTCGCTGGCCTTTAATTCAATACTCTATGATTGTTTTTCTGTAACTTCGGAGAATGATTATTATGAAGTATTGAAGTGATACACAGAATATGATCTTTGATTTTAAGAGACATAGAATAATCATACATGTGTAAACCTTAATATAATTTAGTTAAAATAAATAAAATGATGATTCAACACACAATTTATTGTAATTAATGTAATTAACTTCCAGAAGGAGAAGTTTATTTTTGCGCCAAAAAATCTGATTCGCTAATTGTGTTTTCTCGACGTTTTAAGTCATTCTGAATCGAATAAGACTAAATTTGGAAAAATTATGTGTGAGAGACGATTTTTGACCTTTCGTCGATGTTTCGCAAAAACGGCTGGATCAATTTGAAAATTTTAAAAGCCATTTAATGTAGCTTAATGAGGACTAGGTTAGTTTTGAGCGACGATCGACCAAGCCGTTTTTTATTAATTAGGAGAAAAGTGTAATTTTTAAAATTGATTGAAAGTTTTTTTTTTGACGATCTTGATAAAACTTTATATAGCGATAGAGTTTGTAGTCTAAATTAACACACTAAAATATTAAAGGCTTATGATATGCGGTTGGATTATAAAAATTGATCAAAAGTTTATAATTTCGCCGAGCGATTTCAAGCGATTCTCAGAATTTGTGCGTTTTTTGGTGTTATGTCGGTAGCTACTGATTACAGTTGACGTTCACAATTAAATGAAATTTTTTTTAAAAAAATTTACTTTATAAAATTGCAGATATTTTAGGTTTGTTTGAAAGACATCAATTGGAAATTACATTAATTATTTTTCAGTAAAAGTTTATTTTATTTTCAAAATAAACAGTTGAAACAGATTTTACCCAAATTTCAATTCTTATAGATTTAAGTTGATTGTGTCTACGTATTAGGAAGTTCATGCAACTTGGCTTAAGACAAAATGCTACTTATTAGTTGAATTTGTATTTAAAATACTTAATACAAACATATAATACATTATTTATTAAATATAAAAATAGTATCCTGATCAGTGCCATAAGACATACGAGCTTCATCCATGTACTGAAACGACATCACACACACTCTGTCTTTATATGTGGGGTTCCTATACATATAACTTTTTGTTTCTAAATTAAATCCACACAAAACAATATAGTGTCCACTATATGTTTTAGTCCACGGTAAACAGGATCTGTAAAACACAAAATTTTATATTTTTGAGTAAATCGATCTTCGTGTGGCAATTCGAATACCTCAGATCTGACTTATTCCTTTTGCAAATGTCGCAATGCAATAAATTAGCATTTATTAATAATATCACAGTTCCAAATTTGTACAAGTGTTTTAGCAAATCAATTGTTGATACATTTTTTACTTTTATTTTAATACCTAGCGAGGCTGCTGAATTGAAACGTTGCAAAACTCTTGATTCATCCTAAATAGAAGAAAATAGTTATACAAAAATTACCTAATAAAATACAAATTTTGCATGTTACCTTGGTAATAATTTTTTCATAAAATAATTCATCTTGATACCCTGGATTGACCCCAAAAGTTATAGTAAAGTATGTATGCTTAATTTTAAATCTTTTAAGCAAATAACATAAATCTATAGTCCAAGTGCTATAAAAAGTACATAAGTTTATTATAAATAAATAAAAAAGTATATGTATACATTTAGGCAAACCTTTTGCTGAATCCTTCATCATTACAAATTGTATAAAACTTTTGTAAAAAATACTCTTTACTATCAAAAGGTAGTATCATTAATATACAAGATATACCGCAGTCCCAAGTATATCTTTGTTTAAAATGAACAAGTTTTTGTTCACAAATAAGAGGTAAGTTGGAATCTATAATATTTGTTTAAATTAATAATAATTTTAATATAATATGTAAAATTATTATACCATCTAATTTGTCATCAAGGATGTTATCCATTGTTAAAATTTTAAAAATAACCTATATAGGTAATAAAATAATAAAATATCTTAGGACAATATCCATTTCACATTTATTGAATAAATAAAATACAAAAATATGTTATAAAGTTGAAATAAAATATTTGAAAGTCCTAATTAGACCCTTAGATAAAATCACAGTTTTAATAAAAACATTATTTAAAATTTATTATTGTTTAATATAATTTACTAATTAAAATTATTTATATATATAAAGCTGAAAATAATTTAATTTATATTTAATAAAATATTTTGTTAAAATTGTGTTTTATTAAACGAATGTTTGACATATGCAAGTGTTGCCAATGAGGAAAAGAAGTTATTTCGTTAGTTTTCAAAATGGAGACTTTTTGTGTCAAATAATGTTTAGTGAAACAATAAAGTGTAGTTATCTTTTGAATTTAGTGAAAAAATGTTATTTGGAACTAAAAATATTGTACCTTCCATATACATTTATATATATATATATATATATATATATATATATATATATATTTTCATGTGATTGCAATATAAGCTCAAGTAAGAAGAAAATTTAAACAGGATGATGCATACACTCCATTTTAAGTGCCTTAAGGTAAGTTGCATAAGTTTATATGTCTAAATTAAGAATTTAATCAATAGTAAATCGAGGATTTTGTCCATTGTATATGTATTAAATAGTGGAGTGCATGGCATCGTGCCTTAAGGCAAATTGCTGGTACTTCCCATACCGTAAATAAAAATCTTGGTACGGAACCCACAAAAATTTACACAAAATGTGTACACATTATTGAAATCTCTATAAGATATCTTATAATTTGATGTACATATGTCGAATAAACATTTTTGACCGCCAAATGACATTTTTTTAACTTATTTTTATTGAGAGTCCATAACCGCTAGACCTGCCTTCCCAAAAATTTAATCAGTTTTTCACCTTGTCAATATAAATGTTCTCTTATCAATATTAGAAATCGAATGTTTTTTGAATCACTCAAATCAGTTGATCCGTGTTCCCAAAATCGTCGACGAAAATTTGTATCCGCACACACACACATCCATTTTTTCTAAGGTATGCCAAAATGTTCAGAAACCTTTGAAACGTAAAGATATATAAAAATTTTCATTTTCGATTTTTTGCGATTACTATATATATTTATATTTATAAGTTATAACTTAACCTACGGGAAGTTAACTAGTGGTGCATGGCATCGTGCCTTAAGGTAAATTGCTGGAACTTCCCGTACAGTAACTAAATATTCGAAGAATATTAAATGTTTTCAACTAAATTAGATTGATATAAATATAAACATTAATTGTCTAATATTTATAAGAATTATATAAACTGAATTACAAAGTTAAAAATATTTATTCAAAGTATATAAGTGAGCTTTAGAACTTTTGCCAGAATTAAAATTAAAATCTGAATTATTTTCGATATACAAAAAAAAATTTTTGAAAAAAAAATTTAAAAAAAAACAACTTTCAAACATTTTTTTTTCAAAAGCAATTATTTTGTTAAAATAAACAAAGTTTTTTGGATCATTCAAATGGACGCTTATCTTTGGACGTCTGTATTTCTGTATTCGAAATGGCTGGTCTGCCTTTGACAAAAACTAATCACCTCTTCTCCAAATCATTACAAATTGAATGCTTTTTGGATCACTCAAATCGGACACTCCGTTCTCTCAAAAACTCGATTTGTATTTACTGCACTCTTTGTTCCGTATCTCCGTAACGGCTGGACCTGCCTTTGCCAAAAACTAATCAGCACATCTTCCTATCAATAGGAATCAAATCGGTTGATCCGTGCGTCCGAAAACGTGGACGAATAATTGTATCCATTTATACATACACACACATCCATTTTTTCTGAGGTATGCCAAAATGTTCAGAAAACTCTGAAACGTGAAGATAAAATTTTTCGATTTTCGGCCTATCATTATTACTTATCCTACGGGAAGTTTTTTTTTGTTTCAATTTTTGTTCTAATTTCCAAACATTTTTTTTAATGAATTTCGTTTTGGTGCCCCCTAAGACGTACGCCCGTCTTTTTTGCATTCAAATTAGAACCGGTCCTGTATACACAGGCAAACGTGCAATACACATACACAATATTCGTACATACAGATATGTGCATGTGTATCCGTATGTACGTATATTATATATGCAATGTATATGTTTTATACATCGGCGAATGTTGTGATATTGAGCCCCTGCTTCGGACAAGAGGGGCTTCCAAAAATGCTGTCTCTTTTAAAGAGACAATTAAAAATGGTTGCAAGAACTTACGAAAATCCTTCTTCCCCGAAGAAGGTTTATATATATATATATAGAAATGAAGTTAAGTTGTCGAAAATATTGTCCAGATAAATACCAGACAGGCTGTACTATACAGCGCGAGTTAACGCGCGAAAAAACCAATTCTGTCATTTCACGAATAAAAGAATATTAATATGTGACGGTGTGGTTTTTATTGCTTCAAACAATAAAATATTATTGTTTCAGTTATGTTGAGATATATTAATAAACAGACTATTACTTTCTGAATCTAAATATTATTTGAAATATCAATTAAAAAAAAAAACTAGTGGGGTGTATGGCATCGTGCCTTAAGGCAAATTGCTGGAACTTCCCGTACCGTAACAAAATGTTCGAGGAATACTGAATGTTTTCAAATAGATTATTATAAATATTGTAACATTGTCTAATATTTGTAAGAATTATATAAACTGAATTGCAAAGTTGAAATTATTTGTTTAAAGTATATTAGAACTTTAGTCAGAATTAAAAATAAAATCTGAATTATTTTCGATATACAAAAAAAAAATCGGTTGATCCGTGCGCCCGAAAACGTGGACCAAAAATTGTATCCATACATACATACACACACACACATCCATTTTTACTGAGGTATACCAAAATGTTCAGAAACCTTCAAAACGTCGAGAAATGTAAAAATTTTCAATTTCGATTTTCGGCCCATTACAATAACTTACCCTACGGGAAGTTAATAAAAACATACTTTTCTTTAATTAAAAATGGCATTGATCATTTATTAACTTACCGAAGGAGTTTTCGCAAAAAATTATCGGTTGCGAATTTTATGTATTTTCAACGTTTCATGTCATTCTGAATCGAATAAGACCAAATTTGGAAGAAGTATGTCTATGCGTGTATATGCGAGCCGATTTTTGACCGTTAGTCGAAGCTTTCTCAAAAATGGCTTGACCGATCTCAAAAATTTAAAAACCGTTCGATATAACTCCATAAAGAATAATGTTTGTAACTTTTGTGCAACTACCAACCAAGCTGTTCTTTTTTTTGTATATAGAATAAAAGTATAAAATTGTTCGTCCTTTTTAAGCCAGAATATTGAACTAATTTTGAAAATTCAAAAATTGTATCGATTAGTTGATTTTGTGAAGATCGGTCGAGCTGTTTCTTCGTAATTTGTTGTTGAATTTTTTTTGGCAAATTTGATGAAACTTTGTATAACAGTAAATTTCATAGTCTGTAATCACTCACTAAAATAATATAGGCCTATGATAAGCAGTTGAATTATAAAAATAAAAATAATGAAGAAAAATATAATTATAAAAAGTTAAGAATTTCGTCGCGCGTTCGAGCCAAGCGTTCTGTGCCGTTTCGTTCAACTATTGATTACAGTTTACGCCTACTACACTTAAAGTACATTTTCAGAACACGAAATAGATGAAATGAAATGAGTTAAACAAATTGATTTAATTTATACAATTACAGATATTATAAGTGTTAAATATTCATATTATTGGTAGCGCTATCTATTATGAATACTCTATTTTAAATGAATATTTTTATGTTTTATGTATGTAACCCTGCTTAAAATAACCCATGTTACATTTTATATCCGTTTCAAGATTGATTCTGATTTTAGCCTTGTGCGAATAAAGAAGTAATTTTGATAGTAGATACGTGTTTCCTTTTTCTAAGTGTTTATTATTTCATAACTTTTACAATAAGTATGTTTTAAAGATATCAATTGAAAATCCGTTTTAATGAAAGCGACATCTTTATTTTCGCCAAATTTCAAAATAATAATTTAATAATTCGGGATTTAATGGATATATGGGGCAATTCTTGTTCTTGGTATTGAAAATTATCAAAATTTCTATTTGTCATACGATCAGGCATATTTAACATACAAACAAGCTGTTATCATAACTTCCCGGCATGTATAAATAATCGACTTAATAATAAATCAATATATCAATTTATAAGTATACCTAGTGTATACTTACATGTATTTCAAATTTTCAAAATCGGTTTAGAATCTTTCACAAACAAATTGTTAAAATAATCTAAGTAAAAACATTTTGCGAAGCTCTATTAATTATGTATGGATAAATGCCCATGATAAAAGTAGATTTTTAGATTATCAAAAGAATTCCAAAAACTGAACTTGTAAAACAATGTATATATTATTTTTAACTTATTGCAAAAATTGTCATTCTAAATGTTTTCAGTTATTGATAGGATGATAACAACAAAAATTGAAATAAAACACATATTATTTACATGAATTTAATTTAAAGTTCTATTTGAAATATTGTTTCCATCTATATTAGATTCTATATAATTTTATGAAGCTCTAATCCCATCTATAAACTTGTCCTGGAGTCGGCAACTTTGTTCGAGCACATTTAGGGCTATAAATATAAAAATCATATTAATTCATAAATAAATATTTGCCATACATTGTATTATATTGGAAACTAAGTAAGTGCAGATTTTTGTTAGAAAATATAAGACATTTTTCCTAGTTCCGAGTAACTTTCTGTAATGCATTGTCCATTTTAATCATAACTTTTTATCGTCTTTCAAACACCATTATTATCCTATTCATAAAACTTGTGATATTTACTAGTAAAAACTGATTCAGGTACAATTCGACAATATCATAATCTTTGATTGTTTACCATTTAAGGAGTTTGGTAAAGATTGAAACAAGAAGTAGTCAGATGGTGCAAGGTCAGGACTATATGGTGGATGTGGTAAAACATCCCATCCAAGCTGCAATAATTTTAGCTTAGAAGCCAGAAATATGTGATGTGAGGAATAAATCACTATTTTGATTCACCAATTCAGGCTGCATTTTCATCGTTTAATTAAGACATCAGAATTGATAGTTCAGTTGATGACAACAGTTCGAAGTAGACAATTTCCCTGTAATCAACTTCAACTGGACAACCAGAGTGTTTTTGATCTTTGAGTGAAAAATCACCAGAACGAAATTTGGTAACCCAAATTTGGCACTGCCGTTTTTTAAGGCTTTGTTACCATAAAGGACTCACAAAATTTTTTGTGAGCTCAAGATGTCTTTTTACTTTTGCCAGAATTAATAAGTAAAATATGACAAAAATTTGCTATTTGATCAAAAAAACTTTTTTTCACAGATTGCCTGCTGAATTGCCTGCTATCCAATAACAAAAGTTTTTTTTACATACGGACTATGTCAGCAAACCAAAAAATTCAATTAAAACTATCTAAGAATGAAAGCCGCACTTATTCAGTTGCCACATAATGTTTATACTATTTAACTTACGTGGCTTCTCCAGATGCAAGTAGGTTCTGAGCATGTAAAACGGTAGGTGGCATAACTTCCCTTCTGGCATCTCTACTTACATAATAATTAGCTGATAATCTGCAACAAATATTTGTGTGAATAATGTCATCAACAATTTTATTTTCATATGTATATAATTATTTACTTGCTCGATGGACCATCTGGTATAGCTGGTGGAGGTGGTGAACGAGTAGCTAAGAATGGTTCAAAACGTAAAGCCTTTACGTGTGTTCTCTATAAATAGCACAAATAGATTTAAATTATCATTATCAGTAAAAATCACTACTAAAACAATGTAAATTGTTAATATTATATAATAACAAAATAACTATTGAAAGGTAAAATAAATTACTTACCCCTAATAAAACGTCCCTGAAGAATTGTAAAAATGGACCAACGTCCCTTGGAGCATATTTTGTCATTTTTGAAAACTATAAAAGTACTTTAAAATAAATATTATGGAAAAATAAATATGCTCTGTTGAGGTTAATTTTGCAATTTGACAGCTGACAGCTCTGAAGAGCACCGATCTGAAGTGTGTTGCCATATGTTAGACATGGAGAATTTTGCGGGAAATTTAAATATTTAAAAGTATAAAAATGGATTTCTGAAGTTGTGGAAATTTAGAAGTATTAAAAATATAATATCAATAAATATAATTATATTAAAAAAATAATTTGATATAAATAAGTCTTGTATGCTGATTTCAAGTTTACTACGATTAATAAATCCTATGTAATTGCATATTTTAAAATTTACATTAATATTTTGCGATTTAATTCAAATTATCGCAAAAGTAAAAATTAATTATTATATTTGCAAACATCTTATTACATTGCATATATAATTAAATAAATAATTTATTAAAATTAAATAATAATTTCCATTATCCATACTCCACATTTTCGTCCCAATCGTTTCTATAGCAACAGATAATATCTCTTCAAGTTTTATTAATAAAACAAAATTATTTTTACTACAAAAACCATGTGAACTTTCAGTTTAAATCAAATTTATTTTTATATTTTATTTTAAATTAATATTTTTTCTTAAATTTCAAATTGCGTGTTAGCAAATTTGAATCTTTTAGAGGATGGCGTTTTATAGAATTTTTTAGGTAAATATTTATTCCACTAATTAAGATTAATATATTTTTATTTTAGTTTTGAATTATTGAAATTTTTTGCGTATGATGAATATTGAGAAAAAGGCACGATTTACAATAAATTAAATAAGTATTTGGCTTATAATTAATTTTGTAATTATTAGTTGTGATTTGAATTTAAAGATATGGCAGTATTTATTTAAATATTTTAATATTAGTTTTTTTTACAAAATGGGATTTACAAAAGGATTTCTGCAACGCTTTTGCATATTTATTGAGTTTCTTTTTGTAGAATCCAGCAGCAATATGCAAGAACTTTTCACAGAACTGTTAAACTGTTTACAGATTACCTAGGAGCAATTGGGAATAAATCTGTTTGCAGATTGTTGCTTTCTTATTTAAATTATAATAGAACGGAAGTGTCTGGTATGAGAGATCGTACAAAAATGATTCTACAAAAAGAAATTCAATAAAAATGAAAAATGCATTTCAGAATTTTTTTTCCAGATCATTTAAAGAGAGAAGTCCAGGATAATTTTGTTGTATTAGGTATGCGCTATATGTTTTCTAATCTACTTTTTAACGCTGAACACGAATCTAAAGACAAAGTTGGGGGTCAAACTACAAAAAAAAACGAAGAAAAATAAATAAATAACGACAAAATCTCCGACCTAGTAATTCCTATGCATGGTAATTGAAATCTTATAATTTCTAATGACCTTGAAAAGGAATTTCTGAAATGCATTATTTTCATTGATAGGCCGATTCTGCCGCATAACAGACAAATGTTATGACAAGGCTATGTTATGAAGAACTTTCCATACAAATTTGTTCTAAATATTGACAAAAGCCATGTAGTTGCTGTGCAGTCAATTGTTTTTCTCAGGTTGCCAGATGAAAATATAACCTAGAAACCGCACAAATGTCGAATAAACGATGTTAGATAACATGGTCTTTCCGACCCAGCTTCAGAACATACAAGTAACGTTGCAGTTTGTGTGCAAAACGCCTGAATGCACAGCAAATACATGACATTTTGACAGTATTCAGTATGATTCAGTAGCATAATGTATGGAAGTTGGAGCGTAATATGGCCTTGCCATAACATTGGTTTATTGTGCGGCAGAATCGGCCCATAAATTTCTTTTTGTAGAATCAAGCAGCAATCAGCAAACAGATTTATTCCCAATTGCCCCTGGGTAATCTGTAAACATTTCAACAGTTCTGTGAAAATTTGCTGCAATTTTGTCTTTAGATTCGAGTTCAGCGTTGAAAACATATGTTCCACTCATTGATAAATTTTGTCTGAACTGAAAATTATGTAATTTTTAGAAAAACTTGAATATTTTTAAAATACTGATATTTTTTGGAACTACTAATATTTTTTAAAAAGTTAGATTTTTAAAAAAAAATTGAATTTTTTTTTTTTTTTGAAAAAATAGACTTTTTTTGTATTATGTGATATCCATTTATATCGGTTGATTCATACTGCCGTAAATATCTGATTTTTGACCGCCAAATGTCATTTTTTTAAACTTTCTTCTCTAGATCTCTGAAACTGCTGGACCTGCCTTCGCAAAGATTTAATCAATTTTTCATTACGTCAATACAAGTGAAATATTCTTTGAATCATTTAAATCGGATGCTCTGTTCTCTTGAACGGAAATTGAATTGCAATTTTTTACACTCTTTGCTTTGTATTTGCGAAGCGGCTGAACCCACTTTTGCTAAAAATAATCAGCACGCCTCCTCATCAGTAGGATTCGAATGTTATTTTGAAGCATTCAAATCGGTTGATCCTTGCGCCCAAAATCGTGGACAAAAAATTGTATCCACACAAAACACGCATACACACACATCCATTTTTTGAGGTATGCCAAAATGTTCAGAAATCTCTGAAACGTGAAAAAATGCAAAAGTTTTCATTTTCGATTTTTTAACGATTACTATAAATTTTTGAACGTAGGTTAACTACGGGAAGTTAATAAATAAAAATATGTCAATATGTAAGCAGATTAATCAAATTTTTCTTTACAGAATTTACCACTAGACTTAGTGAAGATCACAATTCGTTTCTATAAATCCTTCGCCTCTTTTGCTGTCACCTCACCATGGATTCGAAATCCAGCAGGAAGTCAGAATCGAAGGATGAGTTCGGCAGCGATTATCAACCTCATCAGCTGCACCCTTCTCTGCGACGTCATTGGTCGCTCGAGGCGCGCATCAGCGGCATCCAACCGGCTGCTCCTGCAACTCCGCCGGTGCGGCCTTCACTTCCCGAGAGAAATGCTGCAGAAAATAGAAGCATGGGCAGCATGTGGGCGGTGGCGGCTACCGAAACGGTCGCGGATTCAAAGGAAGCCGAGCAATATAAAAGAGAGTTTATTAAGAGACGGAGTATCCTTAGTAGGTAATGGAAAATTGCCTGATTTTTTTTTATTGTCTATTTGTTGACTTTGTATACACGTACATCAGTCATATACATTTTATAATTAATCTTTACACTTTTATTTTATTTGATTGTAAGTAATTGTATAGCGCGCCATATATCCTTTTCTGTGTCAATAATGTTATAAAATTGGTTGGGAGGGAGGTTTTTTGTCTTACTATCTCCGTCCATAGTTCTACTCATTTCCAATTTTTTGCACTCCATAATGGCGTGCTTAGCATCCGCCCTAGTCACTCCACCCGAGCAATAGCAATTAGGATCGGTATTGATTTCAATCCTACTCAGGTGAAACGGAGTGTATATATGGTTAAATCTTAGTCTGCATATCGTCTAATGTCGTATATTTAGGTTTTAACAGAATACAATTGCTATTGATTTTTGATGGTGTATCGAGCATTCAATTTTCAGTATGAAAGATTTCAAAATCTTTGTTTTTGCTTACAAGAAGTATTTATTCAAATGAAAAAATATCAATTTTAAAACAATGAGCTACATCAAAATTCTAATTCTTTTGTGGCATTAGAGAAGTTGGTAAATCTCATTTTAGTTTATGCTATTTACCTTGAGGCAAAAGGCCCTTATAAATAATATGGCTTTTTTTAACTTCTCGGAAGAGTATGTTTTCGCCAAAGAATCCGATTTGCTTGTTTTATGTTTTTTCGACTCAAAGTCATTCTGGATCGAATAAGACCAAATTTAGTAAAAGTATGTGTTATTTATTTATGTATGTGTGAGCCGATTTTTGATCTTTCATCGACGTTTTCTCAAACATAGCATCGATTTGAAAGGTTTAGAGGCCATTTGATGTAGCTTGATAAGGACTAGCTTGTGTCAGTTTTATGCAACGATTGGCTAAGCCGTTTTTTGCCAAATTAACAGAAAAGTGTAAATGTTTTTGTCCACAATTTCATCAGTTTCCAGCAGATCAAAATTCAAAAGTTTGGATGAGAATCGTGCTAAAATTAGTTTTTGGTCGAGATCTGCGTGCCGTTTGTCCGTAATGTTTGATTATTTTTTTGACGATTTTGTTGAAAGTTTGTATGACAATAGATTTTGTAGTCTGAAATATACGATAAGCAGTTGACATATAAAAAATTATCAAAGTTTAGAAGTTCGCAACGCGTTTAGAATTCCAATCCTATGTTTTATGAGCAGCTACTGATTACAGTTGACGTTCTCATTTAAATAGAATAGATAAAATAAAATATGTTACGTTTTTTAAAACAGTTGCACATTCAGCAATTTAGCTAAATCTCATTTTGAACATGCAACTTGCCTTGAGGCAATGTACTTCATACAACTAGTTTGACTTAACTCTGATATCTTTTGCAGAACCGTGTATACCAGCAAAGGCGATTCATATGCAAAACATTTAGATGGTACCAGACTTCCACCGACTCGACTGCTTAGAAAAATTAAAGAACGACTCAAAACTACTGAACCATTAGTAAGTGAACAAATAAGTCTCGAATTGACGTGCTAAAAGATTTCAATTATTATTGATTTCTAACAGTTTTAAGTCATCACTCCGAATATAACTTTGAATGAACTTTAATGAATTATTTTCACAGACTGGTTTCACGGCTTTCCAAAAACTGATGGACAAGCACTCGCGATTGCAGAAAAAGGGAACCTCAAGATTTGACAGTGACTCCAATAAAATCATCCATAAAGCAGAAAAAGAAAGATAAACAGGATGAGTTGGAAATGACAACAATCGATGAGAGGCAGTATTTAGGAACATGGTCCATTATGCAGGTACAGAAAAACTGACTAATATAATTTCATGTAAAAGACTAAAGAACTAATATATAATTAACTATTTGGTTCCCTCATTCAGATCGCTTCAGGTACACAGGAATCTGTACAATCGCTGAGGATGGAGCCCTTGCCCCTGTCCGGAGTCGCTTTGAAGCATTTGGCGCTCTTGCAGCGGCTGAGAGAAGAAAAAGACTACACTTTTGTTTACATGAAATATGCTGTGCCACCTTCTTCGCCTTATTTTGATCTGTACTGCTATGTGTAAGTGGGAATTAAATCACATTTCGGCCTATTTTAGACTGTTTTATTACATTACAAACATGTGATTAAGAAAAAGACTACACTTTTGTTTACATGAAATATGCTGTGCCACCTTCTTCGCCTTATTTTGATCTGTACTGCTATGTGTAAGTGGGAATTAAATCACATTTCGGCCTATTTTAGACTGTTTTATTACATTACAAACATGTGATTATTATATTTAGTCGATACTTTTCAATGTTGTCTGATTTATTAAATTTTTCTACGGTGTCTTATTTTTAAGAGAGGTGCCTTACGAGGAGACCGATGGTCAGACTTTCGCAACCGCTTCCACAAAAGGGATAATTCAAATATTTCCCAAAGAAGCGGTTTTTACACCACTTGACGAATGGGAAAGGGAATTTATATTATTCTCAAAAATACGCCAGGTAAAGTAATAGTATTAAATGATAAACTAATAATAATAAATAAGATTGAGATTGGATGATAATACTGAAATTTAGTGAGTCATTACAGTACTTATAGTAAATATAACTATAATATTTTTTTTTCTTTCATTTGAAAACTCCAATTACTATAATTATTTTAATTAATTAATTAATTTATTTTTTTAGATTCGTACTTTCAAAACATTCCGTACCTGGAAAGCGTTTTCCTGCTGGAAGAGCGGCCTGGCGCGTCGCAAATTCTTGAAAACCCAAGAAGCCCTGAATAAAACTTTGTACATTTTGGACGAGCCTCTGCGCAAGGTTGCAGTGGACGTGCAAAAGCATTTAGCCGAATTGGAAGAGGAATCTTTTGTGGACGTTGCCACGAAGAGAAAGCTGAAGAAGGGCAAAGGTGCCACTGTCACGGTGGTCGTGGTGCAGGACGAGAGGAAATTTAGGGAGAGTCTGCCGTTTTTTTATTTTTTAGAAGACCAGGTAAGAATAATAAATGATTAGTCATAATAATATCGAGATATTTTATTGATAATAAAAACCCCAATCGTTGGTCTTTGTATTTCCCCCACGTAGTAAAAAAATTTATAAAAACTCTCCTTCTAAACTCAGGTTTTTTGGGTTATAATTTAACCCTTGTAGCTATGGACTATATTAAACGCTGATTTGATTTGTATTTGTGTGTATTTGTTGCAGTTCTAATTACACTATTGATTCGTCTCTAAGTTCTAATTGAAGCAGATTTATATATTTATTATTTATTACACATTTGCGAACATTACTTTTAGAAGAGAACAATTAGTCCCATCAAACTCTCAGCTACTTCCTCTACCAGGGGTAGTAACCATCCCGTGTAAAAGCTCAATGCCATGAAGATTGTCACTTCTATGGCCAATATAATAAAGCAAACATATGTCTCTTTTGCTTTTGCGTTTTGCCAGAAAATCCGAATCGCCAACTTAATGCTTTCTTGACAGTACAAGCCAATCTGAATCGAATGAGACCAAATAATCTTTAAATTTATGTTTGATGATTCCTGTTGATAAAATTAAGTCAGTTCATCTTAATTTATCTCAATTTCAGATGGAAAAATTCGACAACGTCTGCACGAAACTACAAGATCTTCGTTCCGTTTGCATTCGTGCATTCGAATCGGCCCTGAAGCAGTCCTTTCGCTCCCGGGGCTACCGACTCGACGATTCAAACTTCGCGCCGCCTGCATTGGCCGCCAAGTCCCACAGATCGGACGCCAAGCCTATGATGACCTACAGGCACAGGGCGGAAAAAAGACAGAACTGCAAAAGATTGGCAGGGTAACAAAACAAAATGATCATTTTTTGTTTTAACCACATTTTTTCATCATGTCGGGAAAACTGTTAAAATTTTGTAGAATCATATCATCATCAAAGCTCTAACGAATTTTCTTTATAGATTTTTACAATGCATGGACTATCAAGTGATAACAATGCACAGGAATTTAATTTACACAACTTTCAAAAATCTATACGATGTCGTCCAAAGTCACGCTAAAAACTTTCCACCACTAGAAGTGTTGGAAGGGGATAGAATTGATGCAGTGTTTAACGCTAAAAGAATGAGCATTATTGGTACAAAATATTATCTAAGTAAAATTTTAGTTTACTGATACTTTTGGATACAATTTTTTTATTATAATTTTAGGTCCGATCGACACGCCTGTAAAACCTTTGTTAACTATTGCTTTAATGATGACAACGTCTGAGGTCAGTTTGAATCCAACTGAAGAAATAGTATTCAATGAATTTGAAGAATTTATACAAATGTGGGAAGACTGTTTGTTCGAGTGCAAAAGATTTCTTTCCGATCCATTATTTTTGCCGTATACACAGTATGTGGAATCAAAACTAAAATGTATTTTATTTTGTACTTAAGAGCCAATAAAACCCCCACACTTTTGGACATAAGAGCTAATAAAACCCCCACACTATTAGACATAAGAGCTAATAAAAAAAAATCATGTTAACTATTAGACGTAAGAGCTAATATCACAAATATCCCACACACAAGAAAATAGTTAATCGATGGATTGCCTCTCATAAAATAAGTAGTCTTAAGTCGTTAACCAACAGCTTTTAGAACATATAGGAGTTCTGATTGCTGTTCAAACAATAAAAAAAAAAATTGTACTAAAAATATTATTTTTTTCTAGTCCGAAAGTTCTGGGTAAAATTGTGGATCCAGTGTGTGGTGATGCACCGGATATTCAATGGATTTTAGAAAACGAAACCAAATATGCTGAAGCGCAAAAAAAGTTTAAAGATGCACTCAAAAGTTGTTTTGATAAAGCAAATATTTATATAAAACGATTTGATGTTTTGAAAGACATGTATGCCGAGGATTGTAAGATGGATCCGGAGGAAATTCGTTTTGAAAGAGGTGAAGTAAAATATTTTTGTACGATTTTGAAGGATACTTTTATGAGTAAGTTATACGTACATTTTCTTTTTTATCAGATTTAAACGTCCATAGAAAACTTCTCGAGCGTTTTAAGCAAGAAATTGGATTACTCGAAAACATTCCCGATAGACAACATTTGGGATTATTTGTGTTAAAACAGGAACCGCTTAAAGAAATTATGTTGCCCGTAACATTGAAACTGCTGAATGAGCTATCTTCAACTTTACCAAGGTAATAAGAAATGTCGACATTGTTTGATCTGCCGGACGTTTGTGTTACTTTTGGTTTTGCCAAATATATGCTTAAAATTAAATTCTAGTTAATATATCTGTCTAAAATGTGGCGATAATTAACTTCCCGAAGGAGAAATTTATGTTCTCATAAAAAAATCCCATTTGCTAAGTTTATGTTTTCTCGACGTTTCAAGCCATTCTGAATTGAATGAGACTAAATTTGGAAAAAGTATGTGTGTGTATGTGTAAGCCATTTGATGTATCGATCTATCGTTTGTCAGTTTTGCGATCGGCCGGGCCGTTTCTTTGTAAATAGCAGAAAAGTGAAAAAAAAATTGTCCACGTTTTAGCTCGCAATTCTGAATCGATTATGAAAATTCAAAAACCGTTCGAAAGATATTGCTTGGGAATCGTGCTGATTAGTTTTTGATAAAGATTCTTTGGGACGTGTTCTTGTAATAAAGTGTTAAAAATTTTTTTTTCGACGAATTTTATCATTATTTTTTTGACTGTAGGTACCATAGTCTTCTAGATCATACTAAAATATTACGGCCCTACGACAACTCGTTTAACTTTAAAAATTCGTCAAAGTTTGCAAAAATTGGTATCGTTTTGTGGCATTTGTCAAAATTAGACCTTTCATTGACATTTTCTCAAAATCAAAAACTGTTCGAAAGGTATTAGTTGGGAATGATACTGATTAGTTTTAGGTAAAAATATACCGAGCCGTTTTCTTGTAATTAATTTAAGCCAATTTTTTATTTTTTTTTATTGGATCTCCGAAACCGCTAGACCTGCCTTCCCAAAAATTTAATCAGTAGTTTATCTTGTCAATGCAAGTAAAATGTTTTTTGAATTACTCAAATCAGCCTCTTCGTTCAATCTGAAACTGAATAATTTTTGGTACTTTTTGCCCCGTATCTCCAAAACGGCTAGACCTGCCATTGCCAAAAACTAATCAGCACGGTTAGTCGGTGTTCCTGAAATTGTCTACGAAACATTGTATCCGCACACACACGCTTACATACAGAGTAGCGCTTTCGTATATATATATATATATATATATATATATATATATATATATATATTAGGGTGGTCCTTAAAATGGTCATTTTCGAATTTCCTTGCTCCCAGGGGCTCAACTGGTTCTAAATAGATAAAAAACAATTCTCTGAAAGTTTTAGCTCTTAATATTAACGTTTAGATAGAGCGCAATTCAATCAAAGTTTTGTATGGAAATAGCATGCAAAAATTTTCAAAAATTTTAAAAATGTTTTTTACATGTAATTTAGCGAACCAATGAATGAATAAAACTCATTCATTTGTCGCTAAGTTATACCTAAAACATTTTTTTTAAATTTTCAAAATGTTTTCCATGCTCTTTCCATACAAACTTTGATTGAATTGCGCTCTATCTAAACGTTAATATTAAGAGCTAAAACTTTCAGAGAATTGTTTTTTATCTATTTAGAACCAGTTGAGCCCCTGGGAGCAAGGAAATTCGAAAATGACCATTTTAAGGACCACCCTAATATATATATAATGTGTGTGTGGGTGTGTGTGTGTGTGTGTGTATTACACATTAGTGAATGTTGTTTATTGAGCCTCTCTTTCGAAAAAGAGAGGCTTCCAAAAATTTTGTTAAAACAATTAGTTCCTCCTCCTCTTGATCTTCTACATCTCCAGGATCTGGAATTCATGTTTTTATCGGTCGGAAATCATCAAATTTATCTACATACGACAAGTACTCTGCGGCGTGCGCTAGAATACGAATACGAATACGAATTCTCTTGTATTTCCCAACAAATGTGAATATTAATATGTGACTGTATGTTTTTTATTATTTTATACAATATACTATAATAATAGTGGTGTATGGCATCGTGCCTTAAGGCAAATTGCTGGAACTTTGCGTACAAAAAAATATATTTTTTTCAAAGATTTTTTTTTTCAACTTTGAAAAAAATTAGATTTTTGAGAAATTTCAAATTTTTGAAAAAAATGATTTTTTTGAAAAAAAACAAACCTGAAAAAAAATTGTTTTTTATATTTTGAAATATTTAGGAAATTTGGATATTTAAATATTTTTTTTCAAAAATTGATATTTCAAATAATATTTAGATGCAGAAAGTAGTAGTTTGTTTATTAACATAGCTTAATATAAACTGAAATATTTTTTTTGTATAAGACAATAAAAACCATATCCGTCACATTTTTTTTTAAGATCGGAAGAATTTCTTATTACGCTATATGATAATTATTATTCTACAACTTCAACTCTTTCTTATAATATTTTTAGAATCGGTCGAGACAAAGTGCAGGATATGTTCCAAATAGGCGAAGACATGATCAGCCAACTGTCCAGGGAACCTCAGACTGGCAAAGACTTTGTGGATTACTCCGATTACTTGAACAAATGCGTCCAGGTGTGCGAAGAACTCAGCGATGTATTGGCATACACGATGGAAGTCTACGACTTGATCGAGGAATACGACATTTATGTCATGGATGAAGACAAGGAGGCATTAAAGAACGTCCTAGGACATTTGGGTATGGTAAATAAATATAGAATCAGATCTTTTATTTATTTGCTTTTATTTTTTTCAGAAAATGTAAGAAGTCTGGTGAACAGCAAAATCGAGAACGTCGACGATTTAACAAAACGTTTTCAAGTTCGTCTGCAGAAGGAACGAGAATTGCTTTATGAACGTGCTGAAGAGATACGGGATGAGGCTCTTCAGCCATGGCTCATTGGTAAAAGATATAATTTATATTTATTATTTTAATTGTGGTTATACTTTATTTACTGTTAGTTTTTTTGAAGCTTCCAGTACTCAGCCGACTGTTGCAAAAGCAACAATTATGGGTTTACACGAACGAATGTCAGAGTTGCAATCTGAAGCTACAACTTTGCAGACTTATCAAATAGTTTTTGATGTAAGTATTAATAAAATTGTGGGTTATATGTAATTTAAAAACTGATCAAGTTAGATAAAAATACATATCCAGTATATATAATCTGCATAAAGAATATCTATATCCATATAAGAGATTTTGATTATTTCCTTTTTCCCCAGGTCGAAGTCACCGAACACGATTTCCTGATCGAGATACAAGCAGTAGTCCGTCTTCGTCAACTCCTCTGGGAATGCCTTGATTCCTGGACGACACGTCTGCAATTATGGTACACTAGAGAATTTAAATTCTTAGACGTCGGACAAATGAGAGATATAATCGAGACGATGTTAAAACATGCTGCTACACTGGACAATGGACTTCCAGGAAACGAACTGGTTCGAGTGTTCAAAGAAGAAGTCGAACTGTATAAGCAGAGACTGCCCATTGTGCAGAGCTTGAGGAATGAACATTTGAAACCGGTAAAGATTTAATGATACTTTGTGTTGACTTTTAAAGTAAATTTATTTTCATTTCTCAGAGACATTGGCGTCAAATCGAAGATATTTTAGGACGCCGTCTAATGATTTCGGAAGATGAACATGTAACTCTGCAGAATTTGGTCGAAGCAGGTTGTTTTAACTTTGCTCAAGAATTATCGGAGGTGTCTGCAAAGGCGACTGCTGAAGCAGCAGCTGAGACTGTGCTGAAGAAGGTCGAGGCTATTTGGAAGGATTATGAGTTGAACGTGGTTCCGTTTACAAATATGAAGGATGTGTTTATTCTCAAAAGGCTTGATGAGGTAAATAATAAGACGTAATCAGAGAATATGGTAATTTTTTTTCCATACGCAACAGTACATTACTATTACATGATCACTCATCTATTCCATCACATATAACTTTCCTCCATTTCAGTTGGAGATGATGTTGGACGATTCCCTGGTGCATATAAATACTTTATTGGCGTCACCCCATGCTGCTCATCTGAAGGCTCGTGTGTCGCGTTGGAGCAGGTCGCTGGAGATTGCCTGCGAGACTCTGGACACCTGGACCGCTTGTCAGAAATTGTGGATTATGCTGCGTACTGCGTTTGCCACCAGAGCAGCTCCGGAGGAGAATGCAAAGTTTGTGGCTGCTGACAGGGCGTGGAAGGAACTCATGCGGAAGACTTACAAGGTTAATAATTGATGAGATTTTGATGGTAATAATAATTTTAATTAAATTACATTTATCATTATTATTATTTTTATACTGTTTTATTTAGAATCCGTTAGCGATCCGAGTATTAGCAGGCGATGGCCAAAATATACCAATAACATTGAAGTCTCTACGCCGGTGTTTGTCTTTATTGGAGCAGTGCAACAGAGTGCTCCGAGCAAGGTTTGAATGTATTATTTTTAAGCTAAGGTATTTTTAAGTTAATATTGTATATATTTTTTTAGGCTGAATACTGTACGGGCAGCCTGTCCCAGACTTTCACTGGCCTGCGACACTAAATTGCTTGCTGCGCTTGGAGCAAAAGCAGGAATAGGAAATATGGCAGAGGCTATGCCACTGGTTAGAACTTGCTTTGAAGCAATTCATAAGTAAGTTTTTAATGAATAAGTAAAATACTTATTTATTTATTTCAAACTAGGTGTAATTGGCATTTTCTCAAAACAAGTTGCACGATCTTTTTGATACTTATACATAATTAAATTCTAAATACAAAATTTAAATATTCATTTTGAAAAGAAAGTTTTTACTTGAACAAAATATAAATACGATTTCAAATTCATATTTTTCAAGCAGGCTTATAATGTATATAATTTTATTATTTTTAGTGCGCTCTTATGTCTTAAAAGTGCTGCTCTTTATTCCAAACTTAAATGATTTTTTATAATTCAATCACTTGCCACAGATCTATAATAATTTATTGCGTTAAAATGAAATTGCCAAACATAAATTGTCATCTTTTTTCGTAAGTTATAATTATTATTTTCGATTTCAGTTTGGAGTTTGCTGATATATCGAGTCAGGCCCTTGGTCTAAATGTTGTGTCAAAGGAAATCATAGCCTGGATTTCGCCAGAAGGGGAAAAAGTTTATTTACAAATGGTAAATAAAACTAAATTTTGAAAATATGTATGTAATTAATAAATAATATAATCTTTGGTAGGGAATGAAAACCAGAGGCGGCGTTGAAGAATGGATAAGGAGATTGGAGCAATATATGATGTTGACCCTGCAGAGAGGTTTAAGGGTAGCCATAGACGACTATGGAAAGCTATCACTTACAAAATGGGTGCTGAAGTATCCGCTCCAAGTAAATTTTATATAGTATAAAAGCTTTATATAAAAGCTATTATATAAAAGCCAAGTTACTATATTACAAATTTTGTAGCGATTATTATTATTATGTAGTCATCATTAAGCAATTCCAAGAATTGCTAACATAAAAAAGTTGATTAATTTTAAAATTCTTGTCATCTTTTATCTTTTTCAGATATCGATATTATCTACTGGCGTTGAATGGACCAAAATGGTCCATCAGGCATTGGCATCGACATCAAAATCACAGATGCTTCTCGAAGCTCAAAAGCGGATCGTTGAAGTTAAATCGACCTTTGTCAATTTTCTAAGAGAAGACGCAACTTTAACAAAATTGCAGAGACGTTTGCTTTCCTCCTTGATTATTCAACAAATAAAACGCAGGGACGGAATTGAACTGCTGATTAAAAATAAAGTGGACAATGTGTAAGTATCATTAACTTAAGATTTTCTGATAGGATAGGATAATAAAATCTTACAAAATGAAAATTTTTCGAAAAATTATCAAAATTTTTAAAATTACTCAAATGTTCAATACTAAATGTTTTTACTATAATATCTTCTCTGGATAGTTCTAATAATTTGCTTCAATACCACAAACGCTATTTTTTTTAGTAATGATTTTAAGTGGACAAAACAGGGACGATACTACATGTCCGCCCCTGGAAATACCCTCTACTTGGAAATTGCGAGGATTCGTGTTCCATACTCTTTCGAATACTTTGGCGTCCACAAATCATTGGCATACACGCCGTTGACGGAAAGGGCCAGACTTTGCATTGCAACAGCACTTGCAGGTTAAGAGATTATATTTTAATAGAATCATTGTAGATTTAAAAGATGATAGACATGATGAAACAATATGTGACGCTTATTATGTTCTAAGATGATCACAGTTCAAATTTTTATTGACTTCCCTATGACGAGAAGTGTTTTCGAGAGCAAATACCTTTTACTAATTATATGTTTGACACGAAATTTGACAAAATATTTTGTATGCACTTATGGGTGAGCCAAAATTAGATTTTCTGTCAATATTTCCTTAAAAACTGGCGCAACAATTTAAAAAAGTTTAAATCTATTTGAAAACAAAATTCTCCTTTACAAATTATTACATATTTTTTTATTTTCCATAAAATATTTTTGTAATTTTGGATTAAAAATTCAAAAAATTACCCAGGCTAAGCACAGTCTAAGTGCCACTCTGGTACAAATGTTTTCCCAAGTGCGTTTAGACTGTTTATGTATTGAAGCACTTTTCCAATTTTGTGAGAACTATTGAAAAATGTGAAAATGCCGCCAAGCTAAGCACAGTATAAGTGAAAATGTCGCACAGAATCATTTGCAAATGATTTAGACTGTGACTATACGGGAGCACTTTTTCAATTTTGTGTAAATTTGATGCAACTATTTTTTTTTTGAAATTGAATTCGAAATGAAATGACGATTGTTAATGTTCAGGAGATAAATTGATTGATTTATGATTTACATTTGATTTGCTCAGACATAACAAGGTAGCAAAAATAATGAAAGTTACAGTATTTGTAATAATATATTTGAAAACGTTTAAAATTCCTCGAATATTTCATTACGGTACGGGAAGTTCCAGCAATTTGCCTTAAAGCACGATGCCATACACCACTAGTTTATTTATTATGTTAATTTCTGTTTTATTTAAAAGGTGTCTTATCAGAAGGAAGTGGTGGCATAAGTACTAGCTGTTTAGGAATATCCGCCAGTGGTCCGGCCGGAACAGGAAAAACTGAAACGATCAGAGAACTGGCAAGGGTTGTTGGCACCAGATGCGTTGTTTTCTATTGCTCCGAAGGTAACAACTTTAAAATTGGAGAGTAAATGACACAAATAATTTGAGTGGTTTACCCACTTCAATAAATGTCACATATAAACGTTTTTGAGGCATATTAATAGTCATTGCAATTGTCATCTTAATGAAACTGATTTAATTTAAAATGAATTAGGGCATTTGGAGTATCATTATTTACTTCCCGAAAGAGAAGTTTATGTTTTCATAAAAAATCCGATTCACTAATTTTATGTTGTCTCGACGTTCCAAGCCATTCTGAATGGAATTAGACCAATATTCAGGAAAAGTATGTATGTGTGTAGGTGTGCATGTGCATGTGTATGAACAGATTTTTTGCCGTAAATTGACGTTTTCTAAAAATGGCTAGAACAATTTAAAAAATGTGAAAGCCTTAAAAATTTAAATGAGTTAATTTAATAATAATAATTTTATCAATTAGCGCGACGATCAGCCAACCCGTTTCTTTGTAAATTGCAAAGAAGTAAAAAAAAATCGTTCACGTTTTAGCCCACAATTCTGAATCGATTTTATGCGCCTTTCTTTTCAAAAAGAGAGGATTCCAAAAATTTGGGTTTAGACAAAATGATTTCTCCTCTTGATCTGCTACATTTTCACGACCTGTAATGAATTTCTGGATCCAAGTCAAATCGAATAAATGCATAGATTTTACGAATAAACAAATATTAATATGTGACGGTATGGTTTTTTTTTTAAATTTTATGCAATAAATTTATTATTATTATTACAGTATAGACAGAAATATTAGAAAACAAACTAGTACATTTTGCATCTATAAATATTATTTGAAATAACAAAGTTTTTCATTTTTTTTTGAAAATTTCTTTACTTTATATAAATTTTAATAAAAATAAAGTAATTTATAATTTATTAACATACCGAAGGAGAAGTATATGTTTTCGTAAAAAAAATCGATTTACTAATTTTATGTTATTTCGACGTTTTAAGTCATTCTGAATCGAATGAGAACAGATTTAGAGAAAGAATGAGTGTGTGTGTATGTGTACGTGCATGTGAGGCGATTCCTTGTCTTTCATGACGTTTTTTCAAACAGATTTTAATTTCAAAAGAAACAGTTGAACATTTTACCCTAATAGCTCAATCTCAATTTTTATTGAGTGAGTTGAATGCCTTAAAGTAAAATGCCACTTTATTTATGTAAATGAAGTAAGGTATATATGCGTAAGTAAACATATATTTATATATATATATATGTTATAAAATGTAATTAAAATGAATTGTGCAAATATGCCTAATTTAAGCTAAATTATTAATGTAAGAAGAGAAGTTATTTTTCGGGAAAAAATCAGATTTACTTATTTTTAAATGTATAAAAGTAGATAATTTATTAGTTTTCAAAAAAGAGACTTCAAAAAATATATAATATAATAATGCAAATTAAAATGTATTTTAACGTTCAATCGATGTGTTTGAAGAATTCACCTTCAAGTGAGTACAAATTTTGAATTTATTATTGAATTTGAATTTATTATTTGAAAATTTTATTGAAATTTTGTTTATTAATATACCTGTCTATACTGAAATAATAATATTTTATTGTATGAAACAATAATAACCACACCGTCACATATTAATATTCGTTTATTCGTGAAATGACAGAATTGGTTTTTTCGCGCGTTAACTCGCGCTGTATAGTACTGCCTGCCTGGTATTTATCTGGACAATATATTCGACAACTTAACTTCATTTCTATATATATATAAACCTTCTTCGGGGAAGAAGGCTTTTCGTAAGCTCTTGCAACGCTTTTTAATTGTCTCTTTAAAAGAGACAGAATTTTTGGAAGCCCCTCTTGTCCGAAGCAGGGGCTCAATAATCACAACATTCGCCGATGTACAATATATGTACAATTAATTGTACATGTAAAATTAAAGTGAAATTTTTTCACTGAACGAAGGCTAGGATTATAGCCGAAACGTATAGATATAAAATAAATTCCTAAAGAAATTAATGTTTCTTATATATCTTTACGTTTCAGAAGTGTTTGAACATTTTGACATACTTTAGAAAAAATGTGTGTGTGTGCATGTATATGTATGAAATATGTATGTGCATGAAAAAAGCCAAAATCTGTCGGTCAAAAATGATCATTAGACATATGCACATCAAATTATCAGATATTTCATACATTTTTTATAAAAACAAATTTTGTTTACATTTCTATGGGTTCCGTAACATTGTTAACCTGTTGGACTGTGACATATTTCATCTCTATGCGACTAAAACAGTGCTTTGAACTGTTTAAAATTTCTAAAATATTTCAAAATATGCAAAAAAATCATTTTTTCAAGAATTTCAAAATTAAATTGTTAATTAATTAATTCGTTTTTTGAAAAAATAATTTCTGGTACGGGAAGTTCCAGCAATTTGCCTTAAGATTCGATGCTTTTCACCACTAGTTTTAATATATTATTACCGCGCTTTTCATTAATTCATTAATTTTTCAATTGCGAGCCAAAATCCGAGCATTCATTGTTGAATTATGAAGTGAGATAACAAAAATTTATGAAAAATTTTCCAGCTTTGACGTAGATTTGTATGGCACCGTGTTTCCTCACAAAATCTGTGGTACCTTAAAATTTTAATATTCAATTTCTTATATATTTATGCAAACTATTCATTCATCGGGAAATATTTGTTCAATGGGATATTTCAGCAAATCTGGAATCGCATCTAGATTTATCAATGGCAACCTATCCGTCGCAATATCTAAAAATTGTCTTGAAATTGTTCCAGGGGATAGAGCGAATAAACTTAAGCTTCCCCATAAATTCAAAAAAATCTTGATCAAAGTTCAGTAAAAAACGTTCACAAAATAGACAATAATTGATTAGCTACCATGCTAAATGAAAAATAGTTGGACTAATAAAGTGAATGAAATAGGGATTTGTGGTAAGAGGATCAAAATTTAGGGCCGTATGTATTTTTCAATTCCGTCTAATTAATTAGACGATCATTAATTAATTAATTAATAATTAAATAAGTTGAATTTAAGTTTAAGAAAATCTTCTTCAAAATGGGATAAAAAACTAAAATTAATTATGGTGGTAGCAGAGTAAAAATAAAATATGTATTTTAATTATGAATTATAAAAAAATTAAATAAAACAATTGGTTTAAAAAATAAAAAAAATCATGAAAATTGATCAAACCGTTTCGGTGGAATATTGCCACTAACATTAAGCAACAAGAGTTTTATATACGTATATTACCAGGTGTGATTCACAACATGATTACAAGAACTCTAAGCGGTGTCATCCAGTGCGGCTTCTGGTGCATCCTGGACGACGTGGATCGCATCCAGCCATCAGTAGCGTCGGTCCTGGGTTCACTTCTCTCCAGCATAAAAGATGCCAGGAACACAGGATACGAGAGATTTTTATTCGAGGGAAAAGAAATCAATATACATAGAATGGCTGCTTTTTGTATGACCACCAATCCTGGGTGAGATAACACAATATTATATAAAAATTTATAAAAACTTATTTTAAATATTATTTGTTTCTTCCTCAGTCATCCAGGCCGAATGGAGTTGCCGGAGAATCTAAAAGTTCTATTTAGACCCATGGCCATGATCAGACCGCAGATGGAAATAATTACCGAAGTAGTTCTATTTTCATATGGATTTAAATATTCTAAAGAATTGGCAAGGAAAATCATCACTTGCTATGAAATGTGCAGGGATCAGTTGAAACATCGAGAGTACTATCGTTTCGGATTGAGATCCATCACATGCGTCTTGGTAAGGAATAAATAAGATACAGAATGTCATAGCAGTATTCACTTTTTTCAATATTTAATCAAATAAATTTTTATTCTCTAGCAGTACTTCTTTTTGCAGTACTTCTTTATTTTTTATTAATTTATTTTATCTTCTTCACATTTCTCCAGCACTACATCTCGAAGAACTTGTGGTGGGTTTTGCAGTTACTTCTTAAAGTCTACATTTCTTATTCATTCTCGAATTCAAGCACATTATTGCTCATCTCTGCTCATTAGTGGCATTCTAATATAACTTGTTTACTTTTTATATTTATTTATGATTTTTTTTAAATTTCTAAATAATTCTATTACTATAGGCTCGTGCTGCCAGATGGATGCAGAAAGCGCCAGACATAATCGAGGAGGAGGCAGTCCTATGGGCATTGTGCGAAAATCATATGCCTCGAATGCTTCATGCTGACACTGATGTCTTCAAGGCGATCTTGATCGATTTATTTCCTACATTTAAAAGTCCAAAAAGCAAAATCAGAACGGCAATCAAAGAAACGGCGGGTATTAAAAAAATTTAGAGTTCCTTTTAGAAAATTTTAATTTGCATATTGACTAGCAAACTAATGTGTGAAAGAGAGCATAAATTAATATAGATTGAGAGAGAAAATAGAGAAGATAGATAGACACAGAACAAAGTATATGAGAAAGATAGACATAGATAAAGATAGATAGATTGGAATATAGAGGTATGAGAAAAAGAAAGCGATAGAAATAGAAGAATATGGATAAATAATAATGAAGAGAGATACAGATAGAGAAATAAAGAAAGATTAAAAGAGATAGAAAGAAAAGATAGGTGGAGATTGAGATGAAGAGGGATATGGATAGATATATAGTTGGGATTGTTTTTGGAAAAGATCTAAAGTTATAGTCAGTGGATCAAAAGTTATATTAATTAAAAAAACTAGTACAACATGCCCCTAGCTTCTCTTAATCAAAAATATCAAATAAATATAAAAATCAAAAACCTGTTTCATAACTGGTGACTGTAATAATTTCTATTTTCAGCTCAATTGATGATGGAAAACGGCCTTCATCCGGTGTCCAATAATCTGAATGACATGGGACAGCTCTTTGATGCTTTGAAAATTCGTACAGGTACATTCATTATAATCAACTATAGGCTTACATTTAGATTTTAAAAACATTTGAAATAAAATAATTGTGTTACAATTATGTATGTTTTTAAACTTTGACATAAAAACTTAAAATATATTATCCAAATGGCATTGCCGTTAAGTCAAAACAATATAAGATTGACCACATATATATAAACATTTCTATTTTTTATGATTATTTTTATCCAGGTGTCATTGTTCTCGGAGAAGCCTGTTGCGGCAAAACTACAATCATAAACTACTTGGCAGCGGCACTGGACAAGTTGCAATTGAGAAAAGAAGAGAAATCTAACAATGTTAATTATGAAAATATTGTTAAAGTCATCATTTATCCTAAGGCGTTGACGTTGGAAAAATTATTTGGAGGATTCGACGAAGCATCTGGGGAGTGGATCGACGGTCTGATTGGTAAGAAAAAAATTAAAGTAATATACATTAATTAATATGAGTAGAACTACAGGTTGACTTTTTGTCTCCTACCATTGACCCGAGTACAAATGTTTCTTTATCTTTATCATTTATCTTAATATAATATATGTTAAAAATAACAATAATTATTTGGCTACCACTTTAGTTGGGACCCTTTTGCAGTTAGGTTGCTTATCACTAACTTTTGATATAAGTTTAAATTTCATTAATATTTTATGTTTCAGGTCTAACTGTTCGTAAAGCATCGAAAGATACGACAGGTGCTTACCAATGGATCATTTTCGACGGGCCTATCGATTGTTTTTGGGCCGAAAATTTGAATTCGGCCTTGGACGAAACGGCCAGGCTTTGTTTAGCTAATTCAGATCGAATTGTATTGACTAAATACGTTCGATTCATCTTTGAATCGGCGACCGTGGACATGGTAATTAACGACAAAAATTATCATTACTAATTAAATTAACTTAGTTTGTTAATTAACCATGTACTTTTTTCACAGGCATCTCCGTCTACAATATCCAGATGTGGTATAGTGTACGTGGAACCTGAAGGTTTGGGTTATAAACCACTAATCAAATCTTGGTGCGGTCAGAAGACCATGCAGGATTTTGTTAGCTCCGAACATCTGGAATTGTTAAACAACCTGTTCGAGAAGGATCTTGAAAACATGTTTAAATTTGTTAAGATGACCTGTATTCAACAAGTTAATCAGGTAAAGAGAATATTTTTGTTATATTTACAGTAGTAAAATTGTCGGAAATTAATTGCCAAGCTCATATTGTAAAAGCAATACATCAGCTGATAAAAATGAGTTAAAAACTAAACTTCCAAGTCAGGTTGAATTTTTTATACCATAAAATACTTTTTTACCATTTAAAGCTGCCAATTTTTATAATCACAGGCCTGTCTCTACCTCATTCTAATTCTCTCTATCTCTATCTATATTTCTTCACTATCACACATCTATAACTGTATCTTTCTCTATCTTTCTTTACTCCTCACTATCTCTTTCTATTTCTTTCTGTGTTTCTCTATCTCTGTCTCTGACTTTCTGTTTTTTATGTCTCTATCTCTCTAATTATACCTTTCTATCTATCTCTATCTCCATCTACATTTCTCTATTCCTATCATTTTTATCTATCTCTCTAACAATTATTAAAATAAAGTGACGTATCAGAGATAATTTTTGTAAAAAATATTTTATATATAAATTAGGTGAATATGAGCAAGGTAAAAATGCTCTGCTCTCTTTTGGAAATTTTACTCCTTGATAACGACAAGGTGGATATGATGGCACCGGAATCAACAACTTATCTGCTCCAAAGTTTTGCATGGGCATCACTCTGGTCTCTCGGATCCAACTTAACGCAACCATCCAAAAATAAACTAGAAATATACATAAGAAAAATGTTCCAACAAATAAATGATAGCAAGTAAATACCATATATTTATTTTGTATTTTATATTGAGTTCTTATATGTTATTCTTTCTCTAGCCTGAGCGATGTTGCTAATTTATGGTATGTCTACATGGATACGAACGAATTGGTTTTCAAAAAGTGGTCGGACGCAGTACCAAAATTTACATATGATCCTCAACAGCCATTTAATGAAATCTTTGTACCAACGGTGAACACGGAAATGATAAAATATGTTGGAGGCATGTTGTTGAATGCTAAAAAGCCTATAATGTTAACCGGAGATGCCGGACAAGGAAAGTCTGCAATGGCAGGACAAGTAAAAAAATTGATAATTAAATTCTTCCACAAATCCCTGACTAATACTAATTCATATTCCGTTAAAACCATTTTCCCCAGATTCTTGATTATGTTTCACAATTGAATCCAGTGTACGAAGTTTGCCGAGTTCGTCTGTCGGTGTCGACCAACATCTCGAGGGCTCAGCGGAAGTTCGAGCGGATATTGGAACGGAGAGCCAGGAAAGCCATTGGGGCGCCTTACGGAAAAAAGGTGCTCGCCCATGTGGACAACGTCGCCATGAGCATCGTTAATGGCGATATTGGATGCACCGAGATGTTCAGGTGATTGAATTTCGGGCTAATGGCATATGACGTTACGCCTATTGAATTTATTGATCAAGTGGAAAAGGTAGAAGGAGATTTAGATAAAGATGGGCATAGTGAGATATAATAATAAATGGTAATCTGCCAGAAGGCAGGTCCATAATGTGAGAGCTACCACATATAAATGATTCGCTTATACTTCGTCCATCATTCCCTTTACCACTATTTTCCCTCCCCTTTTTTTATGCATTTTCCTTTCCAAACTTCTGCTTCCATGCTTCTTCATCCTCTGCTTTATTTTTCGGTTCCCTGTATTTTCGTCGTCAATCATCTACATTCTTCTTCTTCCCACTCCTTTCAGTCTTTTATAGTAAGATATAGATAGAGATATATAGAGATTAGGAGATATAGATAGAGTGATATAGAGATTGTGAGATATAGATAGAGAGAGCTGGAGATAAAGATATATATTTATTCATGAAATGTTTATTTTCAGTCAAATAATTAAAATGAAAAGCAATGAATAATTTAACTATTTATTATGTATGTTTGGACACTGTATGTGTGTCATTCATCAAAAAACACAAACATTTAAAGACATTGCTTAATGAAGAAAACAAGATATTGAATAAAATAAAATAATAAACTGTAAATTAAATGACAATATTATGTAGTCAGTCACATGATTACCAAATCGATAATTGGTACTATTTGGACATAATTTTTGACAATTTGGTGATCATGTGAGTAACTACATAATTTTATTATTTAAAATTTGGTTTATTATTTTAATTTATTAGAGAGAGATAGATATAAAAGTAAATTAAGATAGATCAAGATAGAGAAATAAAGAGGAATAGAAAAAGATAGAGAAAGATAGAGATAGAGAGAGATAGAGAGATTTATATGTTTCGGATATAAAAGGCTATAACGGATATATAGAAAGTAAAGATGAAGAGAGATAAAGCAATAGAGAATAGAGAGATACAGACCTAAATAATTAAAAAAGTAGACATAGGCAGAGTAAGAGAGGTTTCAATTAAAGAGTTGTAGAGGTATATAGAGAAATATACAAAAATTTAGAGATAAGAAATAAGGAAATATAGATATAGATAGAAAGAGAGAGGGGAATAGAGAAAGATTGAGATAAAGAAATAAAAAAGGTAAACTTAGTTTATTTTTTTGAATATTCTGGTAAGCTTAAAACATAATTTTTAAAAGTAAAAATGTATATATGTATAAATGAAATGTATATATGTATAAATAAAACATTTATAAACGTGTTATTTATTTAGAAATATTAAAGTGATACAGTGATTCAAGTAATCAAAGATAATAAGAATGAATAAAATCTTTCTAAACCATCCGAATCGACGGAGGAGTTAATTGCTAGTATGAACTACCCACTTATAATGTATTTTTTTTATTTTAGGCAATACCTGGAGCACGGAGCCATATACGATTACAACAAGTTATCCTGGTTGCGAGTAATAGATTGCGTGATGTCCTGCTCCTGTTCGAGTGCAGCAGGAATGACGTTTCCGTTGCGCGCACGTTTCGTTCGACACTTTAACGTCATGGTTCCGCCGGAGAAGGACGACGCCGAAACTCGACGCATTTTTGGGGTAAGAGTTAAATTGAATTTAATAATCTTCTTTATAAAGTTTTCATAACTGATATTTTTTCAGAGTATGCTGACTGGTCACTTTCTGGCAGGATGCGTTCAGGACGATAAACCAACAGAACAAATAACTAAAATATCTGAAACTTTGACTGAATGCTTGATAACTCTAATAACCAGGCTGAAAATAGAATTGCCGACAACTCCTCATCGAGCACATTGCCAATATTCTTTGACTGTGATGTCAATGTTTGTCCAAGGTCTAATGTTGGTGAAAGATATCTCACATCAAACTACTAAGTTGGCACAGAGATTGTTCTACCATGAGGGCTTGAGAGTTAGTAGAAAAAGACTCTAAATTTTATTATTTTGTTAAATTTAAATGTAACTTTTGTTCTAAGATATTGACTCCTGACTGTAAACTCACTTGCCCAGCACGATTTTAACCATTTGGTCTCATATTTTTAATTTTTAGGTTTTTCACGACAAGTTGACTGAACTCTCCGATCGCGAAGACATCAAACTGATCCTTCGCAATGTGGTTCAAGAACATTTTGGAGAAACTCTACAAGAAAACGAAATCTTATTTGGTGACGTGAACAAGGACAATAGGCAATACGTGTATCTTAAGGATTATGATGAATTAAGAGCTAACTTAGCAGAATCCTTGCAAGGATTCTCATCGAAGAATGTTGTGACTCCGATGTTGAGCAATTACGTTATTGAACATATGCTCATCATTTGCAGAATTCTGAAGTTAACGAGAGGTTGCGGTTTACTGATCGGACTCAGTGGCACAGGGAAAAGAGGTATCACAAAGTTGGCGGCTTATATTAATGAATATCCGTGAGTACTATTTTTAGAAGCAAAGTATATTTTACAGTGCATTTACTATTTTTCACAATTTAATATTTGTTACATTTTTTTCTCATTTAGTTGTGATCAAATTGAACCTTTGATAAGTTACGATCGATACTCATTCCATGAAGATCTCAGGCAAATATACTGGCAGACTGGCATAGCAAAGGAGAAAAGGATCCTGATGTTTTCTGATACCCAAGAATCTGTGAAACGAAATATTTTGCAGGATTTGAACGATGTTTTACGTACTGGTAGGTGTTAGTTCATGCCACTAAACAAATTTAAAATCTAAGCAAATAACTATAAATAAAATACTAGATGTTTTAAATAAGTGGGGTAGCTATTTGCTTATTAGAACAGAGGTGTACATTTTGTGTGCACATGTAAATTTTGTTACAGAAGACACTAAATTTATTATTTGTATTATAGCAATAATTATTATTTCCAATCTTTAGGCGATGTTCCTGAATTATATGAAGATGACCAATTGGAAAAAGTGATCGTCGCGTGGAGAGTCAAACACATGGAACAAGAAACGAGGACGAGCAAATTATACGAATCCTTTATTAGGACCGTCAAGGATAATCTCCGTGTCATCATCTGCATGAATCCAACTCTGGACTCGCTTAGGTCAGTGTTAATAAATAATTAAAAATATAGCAAAATACATAAATTCAGACTATTTAATTTTTTAAATTTTATATGAATTATGTTGACGTATTAAAATTTTATATGCTTTTTCTTTATGCTATATAAGATTTGTTTTTAAATGAGATAAATATCCATCAAATTTAATGAGATTTTTACCTATTGAGTCGTTTCCACTATTTGTACTTTTTGCAGAAAAAAAATTCGTGATTACCCAGGCTTGGTGAATAATTGTGTCATTGACTGGTTCAGCTCTTGGCCATCAGAAGCTTTAGAGCACGTCGCCAAAGTTTCACTTAAGGATCTGAGTGACCAGAAACATTTTGACAAATTGCTCGAAATGAGCGTTTACATGCACAAGGTAAAAACTATTGCAACCAAATTTTTACATCAAAATTGACTTCCTAGTCACTAATTTACTGATAATAAATTTTTATCCAAATAGACCATAGAAGATTTCAGTCAAAAGTACTACTCGACCACAAGTAAGTTGCGTTGCTACGAGATAACTCCGAGTACTTTCTTCGGTTTTATAAAATCTTATATAAAACTTCATGCGAGTCGAACGGAATTTCTGATGTCGAACAAGAACCGAATTGCGACAGGTTTGAAAAAAATTGACGAAACTAAAAATGTCGTTGAAGCCATGCACGTGGAATTGAAGGAACTGGAACCTCAATCTTCGGAGAAGTCGTATGTTTTGCAGGAGTTGGCTGAAAGTTTGGCAGCGGAACAAAAGAAAGAGCTTAAGGCTAAGTCCGTGGTTGGAAAGGAAGAAGTTCTTGCCAAGGTTGAAGACTAAATATTTGATACATAAACATTTTTTAATTAATTAATAATTATCTTTTATCTCCAGGAGAAGGCGATGGAATGCACCCGTCTGATGCAGGAAGCGCAACGAGAGATGGACGCAGCGATACCCGCCCTGGAGGCTGCTGAAACAGCTCTCAACTCGATAACAAAGCCGGATATTATCGAACTTCGAGCCATCTCCAAGCCGCCTCATCTCATTGTTTTTGTTATGGAAGCAGTGTGCGTTTTATTAGGAGAAAGGTGAGATAATGGATATTGAATTTTTGGTTAGAAAGATAAGATCTCATTATGACCTATAATAACTTAATTACTTTCTGAAAGAAAAAAATGTTTTTGTCAGAAAATCCGATTTGCTCGACGTCACAAGTCGTTCTGAATCGAATGGAACCAAATTTAGAAAAAGTATGTGTGTTTACGTTTGTGTGTGTTTGTGTATGCGAGCCGATTTTGGACTTTTAGTCGAAGTTTTTTCAGAAATTGCTGCACCGATTTAAATAATCAGAAAAATTGTTCGACCAAGTTTTATCCCACAATTTTGAATTGACTTCAAAAACTAACTGTTTGACAGACATTGGTTGGAAATCGTGTTGATTAGTTTTTGGTAAAGATCTGCCAATTTGGTGAAGAACTGTTTCTTCGTAATTGAAAGTTGAAATAATTTTTTTGGCGATTTTGATGAATCTTTGCATGACAATGGATTTTGTAGTCTAAAATTACATACTAAAATAATATAGGCCTACGATAAACGGTTGAATTATAAAAATTCATCAAACTTAAAAAATTTAGAATGCATAGTACTAGTTGTAGTAGTAATGATTCATAATAGTAGTCAAATATTATTTGTACTTATCAGACCTTTCAACATATTTTAATAATTTTTGCTACTATTTAGTTCAGTGCCACTGAATTTTTATCCAATTTTATATTTCTAGGGCCGATTGGTCAGTGGCAAAATCTTTGATGGGAGATCCTAGATTTCTAGATCGTTTGCATAGTTTAGATAAGAATAATATCGACGACAAGCAATTGCTGAAATTGAAGGATTACGTTAATAATAAAGACTTTCTTCCCGATGCAGTCATCAAAGTATCCAAGGTAAATAATTAAAAAATATTAGAAGAAATAAAATATGAAAATTAATTTTGCTGTTGATATTGATTGTGTTCTCCTCATTTGATATGATATAATAATATTAAAACTAAAATTTGTTACAAAAATATTCGGTAAAATACTTGATCTTTGAAATTTAGAACATGCTAGGCTGATGAGATCAATTTTATGTAAGCTTTTCGTAATTAATAGAACAATATTCTCATCTTAACTTTTGCTTGTTTTTCTTCTTCTGATTATTTGTTCTGAATGTTTTCAGACGGCCAAATCTCTGTGCGTTTGGGTGAAATCAGTAGAAATTTACGCCAAAATATACAGATCCAATGAACCCAAAAGGAAATTAGCTGAAAACTGCGAAATCGAACTGGATGAGCTTATGTTATCGTTTAAGGAGAAACAAAGACAACTTTCCAAAATTGAAGAGAAGATACAAGGTAACTTATACAATCGGTAAATTATACCAATATTGCTTTGGAATGAAAGGATATTCTTAGACAGTCAGTAAATAATTTTTTGTAATGCTTGTCATTTAAACTGTTCCTTCTGATTTGTCCTTTCAAAATAATATACTACCAAGCAAGGCCAAATGTTTTGCATATCTCCATAAAATGGTCTTTCAAATCTTGGTAGTAATATAATAATTATCAATTTATAGCTATTCAAGATGAGATGGATGAGAATCTAAAAATCGAGGCTGAATTGAAAGATAATATCGAGCTGTGCACCACCAGGCTGTTGAGAGCGTCCAGACTCAGTTCCGCATTGGGCGACCAGCAGATTATTTGGACACAGAACGTAAAAGTAAGTGATGATAATTCAAACTTAAAACTTTAATTATTTATTTTTTTATTAATGTAAATTTTAACGAAATTTTGATCAATATTATTGAACTATTGATTGTATTGATTTGTAAATCAGATTCAAATTTCAATCCGGTGGTTTTTCATTCATCAACTGTCTTTATTATATTTTAGAAGTTCGAAAAAGACCTATCAACACTCCCCGGAGACGTTTTACTGTGTGCCGGTTTCATAGCTTATTTGGGCCAATTTTCTCAAAACTACCGCAACATGATCATTGGCATTTGGGGCGTTGCCACCAAGTTGGCAGGAATTCCATGTTCGGAAAAATTTGAGTAATAGACAATTTCACATACTGATATAAGAAATATTACACATTTACAGAAACTTTAGCATTTATTTATTTTATCTAGCTTTGGATCAGTGATGTGCGATCCGCACCAAGTCCGTGTTTGGGTACACCAGGATCTTCCACGAGATGTCACTTCTAAAGAGAATGCCATAATTATAATGAACTCAGTCAGGTGGCCATTGATAATAGATCCACAGTTGCAGGTAATTTGAAAAAAAAAAAATGAATTGAGCATCCTTTTAATGGTTTGTCTTTTAGTAATTAGCTCCACATGCATATTTGACTTCAAATATTACTTTGTTTCAAATGATCTGCATAATGTTTCATAGCTACTGTCTTGCAGGCCGACAAAATTGTGCAGATGCGTCATTTTTGTTTTGAGCAGTATGAAATTGTACTATCATTAAATTTTGGTTGACGTTATTATTATCAACTAATTTTAATTTTTATGTTTTATGTTTTTTAGGCAAATCGTTGGATCAGAAATTTAGAAAAAGACAACAACCTAAGAATTCTAAAAATGCGAGCCCCAAATATCTATCGATCTATAGAAGTTTGCATGCGTACCGGTCGACCGGTGCTAATCGAAGACATCGATGACTTTTTGGAGCCGTCGCTTAACCCATTTTTGAAAAAGAAAATAAATATGCAGGTAATAAAAAATAAAGCATTTTGAAAATTTTGATCATTGATTTGAAAATGTTTGTGTTTTTATTTAGAGTGCGAACGAATCTCTGCAAGATTCCGATGTACCTAAATTTCGTTTGTATATGACGTCTCGTGTTGCCAATCCTCCGGAGGCATGCAGATCAGCAGAAGTGACTTTGGTCGACTTCAGTGCTACAAGAGAAGGCCTGGAAGTAAGTTGGATGAAAATTATTTTACTAGAAAACAAAGTGGTTATAATAATTTTATCAATTTCAAATAAGAGAGCTAGGGACTTATTGTAGCATAAGTTCGTAATATTTAAAAACGTGTGAGATGCTTTTGGACCTTGTAATAACTTGTTTTAAATGACAATACAATAAGTTTAGTAAGATTTGGAAGATGTGGTTTTATATGCCTTAGACAGAATACTCAAAATACAATTATTTTTAAAGGCACTTAAAGTTTATTGCAAACACTTCTGACTGTTTTTAGGATCACCACCACTATTAGAAAAGCCATTGAAATATGAGTCAAAATTTTATATATTTGTATAATTTTATACCAACTGACTTTTATTCCTACTCATCCAAAATATATTCTATCAAATTCAATATTTCCTACAGGAGCAAATTTTATCAGAAGCCTTAGCCTTGGAAAGACCCGATTTAGAAAAGCGTGATGATGAATTGGCTGCAAAAATAACGGCAGACAAAAAATATATATCAGAACTCGAAGACCAAGCATTAAATGTCTTGTTTTCTGCTACAGGGTGCCTTTTAGACAACGAAGAGTTGGTCGATACATTGAACCGAAGCATGGTAATTTGTCTATAACAAATGTAACATTTAAAGTTAATGTAAATATATGAACAATAATTTTGTTTTGTTAGGAAACATCACTGATAATTTTATCAAGGCTACAAAGCCATGAGAAGATTGAAACAAAAATTACCAAGGAAAGGAACAGGTATCGGCCGCTGGCTGCAAGAGGGGCCGCATTGTACTTTGTGGTTGCGCAATTGGCGGATATCGATGAAATGTATCAGTTTTCCTTGAAATATTTTAAACAGGTAATTATATTGTTGAAACTAATTTTATAAAATTACAAAATAAGTGAATAAAATTACAACATGACTTGACAAAAATATCTATGCATACCAAACCAGAATTCTCAGAATTCGACTCTGGATCAACATTTGTGAACCCCCTTGTTTCTTAATCTTTTGTTTTCCATTTACAATTTGTCAATCATGTAACTAACTGCATAATTAAATTATTTTACTTTAATCAATTTTATTCAATTGTTTGTTTTTTCATTAAATAATGTCTAGAATTTATGTTTTTTTGTTTGAATTTGTTAACGTGCTAAATGATGACTCAAATACAGTGTCGATACGTACATAATAATAAGTTAATCCTTTTTTTTATTTCGACTATTTGGCTGCAAATAAACATTCTAAGTATATATATAAATATATATATATATATATATATATATAATAAATATAAACTTTAATCTTACTTTTTAGATATTGAGAAATGTAATCGTCAGAACTCCAAGATATACAAATATTAAAGAGAGACTTTTGTTCTTGATGCAAGCTACAATTTATGAAATTTACGACGATATTTCGAGAGGTCTTTTCGAAAAACACAGGGTATGTTACATAATAGTACATAAAAATAAAGAAAATAAAAGTTATAGAATAAATTTAATAATAATTATTGAATAATTAATGAACATTTGTGCCTTATCCCTACTTGGATAAAATGAATACTTGTTACAAGCCAAGAATAATCATATTTAAACAAGTTCATACTAAAATCAATAACAATTATTATATAATTAAATTAACAAAATATATTAAAATTGTCGACATCATTTATTATTTGCTATTGCGTACAAATATATTTATTTTTATGAAGTTTTTTTACAAATTTTCTCTTTCTTACTGCAATTTTTTAAATAGTCTATACATATATTTAATTATTCTCAGATACTATGAGCTCATTTTTGGTTGCAAAAATTTCAAATAAGATAACTTATATGAGAAATGAGAATATTCTATTTCAGTTTTTCTATTTATGAAAATTATAATTAACAATAATCATTTTCAGTTACTCTTCAGTTTTCTTTTGGCGTCGACAGTTGACAAACAACAAGGTATTTATAAAACAAAATATTATTTTTTATATTGAGTTAAATTAGATATTAATTTTAATTTTTTTTATATATATTTCTAAATTACATCTAGCCACTTACAGTCTAATATAAATCATTACTACTCTAAATAATATAAAATGTATACTTATAAGCTTGTCTACACATAATTCTTCAACTTAATTTTACACTCCGATATAAAATTAATTAAAAATTTATATATTTCTGTATTAGATAATAATGTCACTAAATTAAATGGTTTCCTAATATTAATTTTAATATATCAAGTTAATGGATAACCTCAAATATGATTTGTTTTTACCGTAGGAAATCTGAATGATGAAAAATTGAAATATTTTCTGCATTGTCGCCAGCCTAATATGGAAGATAAAGCCAAAAGTTGGTCAGAAACAAATCCGACCGGCATGCCGGACGAAATGTGGAATGATATTTGTGATCTAACTGATAAATTCAATGTTTTTGATGGATTACGAGAAGATGCACAGAAAATTATCAAAATTTCAATTGGAGATTTTAAACAGGCATAGAAAATTTTTATTGACAAGATCAAATTCTAACATTCTAATATTATTGGATCGTTAATATTTATTTGGTGTCAAGATTTGACAATAAAAAACTTAGAATATTTTTTTCTGTTACTTTTCATTGAATTGGTATAAATATTGCAATATGCACTGCTTTCATGTAAATGCTTCAATACTATAAAACTATCTCGATCTCTACATTATTATAAATATTTTTTTTATTTTTAGACAATTTTCTTGCCTGGTGCTGTCGCAGTGAAATCTGATATAAATTGGTCAAATAAATTAAAACCTTTCGATAAACTCATCCTGATACAAATATTGCAAGAAGTGAATCTGAGAAAGGCAATGGCCGCTTATGTGACCTTAGTTTTGGGAAAAGAATTCACTGAAAACCGAACTAAACCTATGAAACAAATGTAAGTAACTAAATTATAAATAAAATATAATATAAATATAATCTAATAAATAATATAATATAATATAAATAAAATATAATATAAAATATAATCCATGGAAGAATTAAGAGACTCTACAAATAGGGAAGTAATATATCTACTAATAGGGATCAATATGACATGCTGTTTTGTTTTAAATGATATTTATTTATTTAATGATATTACAATCGGTTTCCACTGTTTTTATTCATCTTAGGTTCATTGACTACCAATAACGAATTTTTTTGATTAAGTAAGAACTGTAATAACATATTTCAACAAATAAAATATAATCCATGGAAGAATTAAGAGACTCTACAAATAGGGAAGTAATATATCTACTAATAGGGATCAATATGACATGCTGTTTTGTTTTAAATGATATTTATTTATTTAATGATATTACAATCGGTTTCCACTGTTTTTATTCATCTTAGGTTCATTGACTACCAATAACGAATTTTTTTGATTAAGTAAGAACTGTAATAACATATTTCTTAAGAAAAAATTACAAATACTATATTATCTATACAGTAGGGACAAAATGACATATAAAGGACATAAGGACATAAGCACATATTTATATACTAATTTTTAAGAAGTCTGTTCACAAATAAATTGTTTGGTCTTTGGGACATCAGCACATGAGTCATGTACCCAAAGGGAATAAATTGTACATCGTAACTTTCAATAAATGCAATTTTTTTTAGCCTCGAATGAACCATCTTGTAGTTCTTACAAAATAGTACTTAATTATAGTGTCATTATTTTCATTATATATTTATGCCATTTAGTCCAAAAGTGAACAGAAATGAATAAATAATCAAAATTCCACCGAATAAAATAAAATGATTGAAATCACTAGTACTTCAATTTCAATAAAAACAATAAATAAGTAACAAAGAACGTGACAAAACCAACCTCAAAATAAACTTTTGAAGACGCGATGCACGTTTGACCATTACTGTGGAAAGTCTGTGGCAATGACTATCAACATCTGACAGAATTGTGATTGTGGTTTTCCTTCGCCGGCCAACTTATTAATACAAAAATCTTTGTTTCTATTGTAGACTTTTTAATTCGGACTGCAGAACTCCGATAGTGTTCATCCTGACTCCAGGTGCGAATCCTCTTTACGCGATACAATTTGTCGCCTCGAAACCGATGCCACTTCTTCAACCGATCCACGTGCCCGAGAAGACAGAACTAACTGAAGGAATACAAGAAGAGGACTTGGGTAAGATGACATAAATTATAGATTTGAAATAAAATTAAATTAAATTATTAGCAATTATGGGTCTCACTGCCTAAGGCAGGTCCGTGAACTGAGTTAAACTCTAAATCGATTCGGAGAAGAATAGCGCCCATTGCCATTTTACACCGCTGTACTCGAAATGGACTTATTTTTAATTGTAAATATATTTTTTATCTATATGGTTCTAGTGAAAATGGACATCGTTACTGCCCAATGTAAGATTGTCCAGAGCGAGTTTCACGACCACGGTCCGAAAGCTTGATCTTTACACAATATATCGATTTAAATACATACAACATTTTTTCACAAACTCACTAGTAAATTAGATCTTTCGTCCTCGGGGTTCAAAATTGTGTAACTTCACCATACAGTTGTATTTGAGTTTGTTTTTAATCCTTTAGGTTCTGTTTCTGGAAAGGTGCCGAAAGAAAAGAGCCAATCGTCCACCGGCACAAAAGCGAGCGGCCTCGACATTGGCGAAGCACCATTGTCGACCAGCGACACTGCGCGCCCCTTCAGCCGCGCGGCATCCAGGCACGGAGACTCCTCATTTCTCGAACAATTTGCCCTGGATTCGGTCATAGGTAATATTCATAAGGGGTGAATACAGAACAACCATGATAACATTGAAGATTATTTATTAAAGTATTCCTTTATCATTTCTATTTAGGTTCAGATTTAGGATCTAGGACTCCAGCCAGCTCCAAATCGGATTCGGTGAGATCCTCAAGACATGCTTCGAAATCAGCATCTATGGTTGGATCTCTAGACCAACAGTTGGCGCAACAATCTCATCAATCCATCGAACAATACGTTCTATTGCCAGAAACAAGTTACGAAAAGAAGTTCTCCGTCTTTGGAAATATGCTATTTGAACCGAGATTAGAAATAGTCACTTTGGGCCGGGGACAGGAACATGCTGCAGAATCAGCCATCGAGAGGTGTAGACAGGACGGCGGATGGATCGTTTTACAGGTCGATAAATGACTTAAAATCAGATTTGCCAAATCTTACGACTTGAGGTCAGATTTGCCAAGTCTCTCCCAGTATATGCTCTAAAATTATGTATATGATCTTAGTATAGAGACTGTCCAAATTCCTTCTGCTAAAGCTTGTTTTTTCAAAATTTATTTACAGAATATACATTTATTACCAGCCTGGTTGCCGCAATTGGATTCCATTATTCAAGAGATTGGATCGGGTGATCCGACTAGATCAGTTTCAGTGCATCCTACATTCCGCTTGATGATGACTTGTGACAATGTTCAAAAATCTGAATCCAAAAATGCTAGTTCAGAGGTAATACTCTAAAATACAAAAGACATTTAGTCAAGGTTATAAAATAGATCTTCCTTGCAAGTTTTATGTTTTATGGCAAGTTTTATTACCGATTGTTATGTTATTACAATGACTGGTACTACCTTTACTAATAATACTGAAAAAAATCCCAATATATTACATTTAACAAGATCCAAATTTGAATAAACTGAATATTATTTTAAATGCTGTCGTTAATATGCCAACTAAAATTTGGTCATTATTAGATGCCCCATGTATCAACATCTCATCTATTTCTTTAAATAAATAAATAATTAATGATATCTATTATGATCAGGGAGCAATGCGAGCCTGTTTGCGCGACTGCTCAAAATACGCATGCGAAAAACAATGGACTGTCAGATCTCACCTCAAGTATGCCTTAGAAGATCTCCAGCAGGAAGACTGGTTCGAAGAACATCGTACGCTAAACCAATACCAATTTTTTTAATCCTAATAAACCAGATAATTTATTACCTTTTTTTCTTTAGCTCTGGGTCGACGCTGGCGATCCATGATTTTTGGCCTCCAGTTCTTCCATGCCGTAATTTGCGAAAGATCTTTGTTGCCTGCGTCTATTGGGTGGATGCAGTCGCCTCCATACCATTTTTCTTATTATGACCGTCGATTTGCTATGGAGGAAGTGAAGCAGCGTTGTCTGGAGGCTGCAGGGGATAGCCTTTTTTATAGCGGAAAAAGATACAAGATACCTTGGGAGGATTTGTTATATTTGGTCGGAATGGTCATATACGGAGGTATGTTTAATAAATTGATTTAACACAATTCTCTCTAAAACAAGCAAAGTATGATATTTTTATCGATACTATTTTAAAGTAAAGTAAGTATATTTTCGTTGTTAGATTTTTGGTTTGAGCACTGTTATTTAGTTTCAGAAACTTGAATATAATGTCAAAATGAACCTTTGATTTTCTAAATAAAAAATATTGTTATAATTGTGATCCTAATACAATATTTGACTTAATAAGTAAATATTTTTATTACATTTCAAGGTAACATAACAAAACAAAATGATATGCGTTTGCTGCAAACAATATTGGAAAATTTCTTCTCTGAAAGGGCCATAAGGGAAGAACATTTGTATTCAGAATCAGGAATATACTATTGTCCGGATTATGAAACTTTACAGGAGTTTCAGAAATACGTTGATGAATTACCACACCAAAGCACTTGTGAACTTTTCGGTTTGCATGATAATGTGGATTTGATTTATTTGGTAAGATAAAATAAAGATTTATTATGTCATTGATAAATTAATAACAATTGATAATAACATATCTTAATCTGTTATTAATTAAAATAAAAACACGTTTTAAATATGTTTTCTCGACGTTTTGGAACTAGTAATGTTCTAGGCTTTCTGTTAGGATCAGAATATTTAGATATTATAATGAACAATATAACAAAGGCAAGTTGAGAATTGATAAACAATTTAAAATTTAAAGGAGTATATCATAAATCTCTAAATGACTGATTTAACAAATATAGAGCCTGAGAACGGAACTTAACTGTAGTTCCAAAGCGTCGAGAGTAAATACCAAAAAAATCTTTTTGTTACAATGCGCAATATTTTTCAACTATATGTCACAAGATTATCAAAAATACTGTTTTTACTCCTTAGCTTATTTTACTCATCATTTTTCACTTCAGACGCAAGAAAATCGTAATTTGATTTCATCTCTTACCAAAAAAGATATTGTGGATGAAGATTCTAAATCTGCATATGATGAAATAGTGCATAACAAGACTGATTTTATAATAGATCATTTACCTAAAACTATCGCAACAAATAAAATGTATTCTCAACTGTCACAGGTAAGATAAAGATTCTAAATTTTCATTATTTTGGCTTTATTTCATCATCGGTTTTATTTCTACAGAAGGATTCTGGTGGCTACTTTTCGCCTTTGACATGCGTACTTTTGCAAGAAGTTAGTCTCTATAACAATTTATTGGCAGTAGTGCACACGTCTGTGGATAACATAGAAAAGGCCTTAAAGGTAAAACCAATTATACCTACTTAATTTCAGTAACCTATTTTATTGAATTTGTGGAATTGGTTTTTTGCCTTCATCTAATATAGTTCAAACGTCATTTAAATTTATATAACTACATAGAAGAAGATTTGCTAAGAGCATGTCAGTGTCAAAAATTTTGAAAATTTGGTATTCCACCGTTTGTGTATTATTTTTAGGGTATGTTATTACTGTCTGATGCTCTGGAAGACGTCTACACATCTCTATATCATGATAAAATACCAAAAACCTGGTCTCAGAAAAGCTACAGATCTACTAAATCGCTTGCTGAATGGGCGTATGATCTTCAAATCAGACTGGACTTTATTGAAGTAATAATAACATTAGATTGTTTTAAAAATAACTTAAAATATTGATTTGATTTTGTGTAAATGATTTGATGATTCGATGATTTGCATTGCGTAGATATCAAATTAATGTTGATTAAATTTGTTATTTGCAAATATTGGGAAGTTTGTATAAGGCAAAATGACACTAATTGACATTTTTTTAGAATTGGTACAGTTTCGGTGAGCCTTTGAGTTACTGGTTTCCAGGATTTTTCGAACCTCGAGGATTTCTCTCAGCCATCAAACAAGTCTTCTGTAGAAGAGGACAAAGTTCTCTAGACCAAGTTACGCTCGACTTTAACGTCCTGCCAAATCTAATTGAACAGGAGGATATTTTTAAATCTCACAGAGAAGGAATGACCGATGTAAGAATATTATTATTGATTTTACACAAAAAATTGGGTAACTATTAATTCTATTCCCAGGCATCATTTCTCTACGGAGATTTACCTACATCATCCATCGTCATCCACGGTTTGTATCTACAATGTGCCAAATGGGATTTTAAAAATAAAATTTTAGCGGAGCAGGATTTAAACAAAATATACTCTCAGATGCCTGCCATCAAAATAACACCTCGTTTAGATGGCATTTTGGTGTTCCGCAAAGATCATTACGAGGCCCCAGTGTATGGAATTTCCGATTGTGAGCATTGTACGGCCACTTCGGTAGACGATAGAAGTTCCAATTTTATCACAAGTATTCTTTTGCCGTCGAAGAAAAAAAGTGAATTTTGGATATTGAGAAGTGTGATGCTGCTGTGTCAAATTGAGAATTCGGATGGTAAATGATGGTTAGGGGTAAGTTTTAGTATATAGTGATAATTTTAACAACTATATTGATTAATTTTATGTTAAGAAACTATTTTATATCAATAAATCTTTATTGAAAAATCAATCATAAACTAGTTGTGTATGGCATCGTGCCTTAAGGCAAATTACTGGAACTTCCCATACCGTAACGAGCTGTTCAAGGAATATTAAATGTTTTGAAATAGACTATTATAAATACTACAACATTGTTTTTTGAATCATTCAATTCGGATGCTTAGTTCTCTCAAAAATTGAGATTTTTTGCACACTTAGCTGGGTATCTCCATAACGGCTGGACCTGCCTTTGCTAAAAACTATTTACCTCTTCTCCCTCGTTTCTTGAATCATTCAAATCGGATACTCCGTTCTCTCAAAAACTCGAAATATATTTTCTGCACTCTGCTCCGTATCTCCGAAATCGCTAGACTTGCCTTTGCCAAAAACTAATCACCACTTCTTTCTATCAATAGGAATCGAATGTTTCTTTAATTGTTCAAATCGGTTGATCCGTGTGCCCGAAAACGTGGTCGAAAAAATGCGGACATACAAAATGTTCGATTTTTGGACGATTACAATAACTTACCCTACGGAAAGTTAATTACTTTAAAATTATAATTTTTTAACTTATTTTAAAGTTAGGCATTTGTGAAATAATTATTTTTTCATCTTGAATGATGACACACATTACACATACAATGCCGAAACGTACATAATAAATAGTTTCGACTATTTTGCTGCAAAAACTAGTGACATCTAACTATGTTTAAATTTTCTTTTTATGATTCAAATTCGCGTTAAATTTTCGCGGTTCAAGTGACAGCTAGCGTCAACTTCACTCCAAAGAATTGCATTTGACAACTGACAACAACAATATGTCGGATGAATTTATTTATGTCTGATTGCATTAATGCAAATTGATTAAAGAGTATAATTATTAATTGCATATATAATATATAATAAGTGATAGTGTTATTGTGTTATAAGCAAAAAAGTTTTATAAGATAAAAAAAATGTTTTACCATGTAAGTGCAGTGTATAAATCTCTATTGTATAATTGAGGTTATGTTCTGTGATGTTTCACTAAATTCAATAAATGTTTATAAATTCGATAAATAACGTAACGTTGTTTATAAAAATGAGTTCATTTACAATTTTTACATTGATATTTATGGCAGAACTATGTACTTGCATAATAAACCCATATTATGTTTTGATTTAAATTGTACAGATTGATGCATGAATTTATATTCATACATGTTGTAAACGTTATTGGCTATAACTATGTCATAATAATTGTTATAATACAAACATTATTTCATATTCATTGTAATATGATAATTAACTCAGATAATGTTTTGAGACTGAGTTTACGAGAACAATATATGTAGCATTAAGCATTTATAATTTCTATGCATATATTATTATATTATATATTATTAATTTATATACCAATTTAGATTTCATTGGAGCATGAAATATTATTACATCCGCGATATTTTGGGCCCCAATTATTGGATACAGTGAAACAGAAGCTTTTCACAGAAGTCGAAGGAACTTGTACTGGAAAGTATGTTTTACACTTATATAAATCAATTAGAAACTTAATTAAAATATTAGTTATTAAATATTAACCTTAATGTTTCTGTTTTGTAGGTATGGTTTTGTAATAGCCGTAACAACTATTGATAGTATTGGATCAGGTTTAATTTTACCGGGCCAAGGTTTTGTAGTTTATCCTGTTAAGTATAAAGCTATAGTTTTTCGACCATTTAAAGGCGAAGTTCTTGATGCAGTTGTAACACAAGTTAATAAGGTAATATTACTAATTTTAATTGCATTCAGTTAAAACATATTACTGATACTTTATTTTGTAAATTTTAGGTTGGCATGTTTGCTGAGATTGGTCCTTTATCATGTTTCATTTCCCATCACGTAAGTATATCATTTTTATATAATTTACAATAAAAATGAGAAGAGTTATTATACTATTAAAAATTTTATTGTAGTCAATACCATCTGATATGCAATTTTGTCCGAATATAAATCCACCTTGTTATAAATCAAACGCTGAGGATAATGTTATAGCTGCTGAAGATGAAATAAGATTAAAAATTGTTGGAACACGAGTTGACGCTGGAGGCATTGTAAGTTTAAATTTTTTTTTATATTACTTGTCATACTATCGAATAATTTTAATTGTGTTTTTACTTTTAGTTTGCTATCGGTACATTGATGGATGATTACTTAGGTCTAGTTGGTCAATAAGTAGTTTAGGTAAATTGAAGTGATATTTATTTAAAATATTTTTCAATATTTTCTTTTTGTACATCGTAACATTTATAAATAAAGAATTTAACAGAGAATAAAATGTTTGTAATTGGAATAGTACAAATATTTTAACTTATGCTTGTGTTGTATGATATTCTCTTTGAAGTTTGAATATTATAATAACAACATAAATAATAAATTAATGGTTAAGTGAAAGTATTTTTTTAATTTCTCCATTTTAAATTCTCCATTAATATGAAATATTCAGATCAAATTTAATTGAAGGAGTCTGCAATAATATTGCTCCAGTTTTCAATAAAATTACATAAATGCAAAAGGCACAGAAGTTGAATGAACGAGATCTACAGTTTTTTTTTTGTATTAGCCATCTGAAATTTTTTTTTGCATATTATTTAAGAATAATTGTTCAGAATCTGGAACTCTAGCACATTGAATACATATATTCAAAATGATTTTCGAAGTTGGGCATAATAAACATTTATTTTTTTGATGATTCAAATAAAATACCAATTGAACAAGTGTGGATGAAAAGCAGGAAAGTGTTTTGGAATATAACTGCACCGATGGTCATTTTTTCGAAATTTACATAGCTTATGTAGCATATAAATATTAAATGTGAAGCAAGTTTGAAAAAAGCTCATAATCTAATACAACCTTCAAAAATATTTACTTCTGAGTTGAAAAAGAATTATCCAGAGTTGATAAAAAGTGATTTTTTGTTAGAACATATTTGACTATAGCTAGACTGGATAATTAAAAGGAAACTCTATTAAAAAATATATGTTGGCACTTCATAAGCATAATCTGAAAAGGCACATTGTATCTTATATATTGTAAAATGCATCTTTAAATATTTAATGGTAGTAAACCTAGGAAAAGCATAAATAATAAAGCTAGTCTTCTAATACACACAATGTGTACCAATTGATGACAAAGGATTGATAACTTCTCAAAAGTTATAGATATTGTAATATAATGTAGGAAAACAGTGTAAGCAAAACTATTGGAATTAAATCAAAGATTATATTCAAACAATCAATTCAAAGGAAATATTGTTGAATAGTTTTGAAGCAAAGATTAGTTGAGCTATTTCTTTGCAATTAAGTTGAAAGCTATTTCTTTGCAAATTGTTGAAAGTTTATTTTCGCGAGTTTGTTAAAACTTTGATAATGGTCTAAAATGAATCACCCTAAAATATTATTAGTCTAAAGAATGTGGTTTGGTAATAAAAAACTATTAAAGTTTGCAATATACACGTTTTATATTCACTTTAAATCAAGAAATAAAAATCTACACAGGTTTTCCTTAAATAGGTTCAGGATTAAGTCAATTAATTGACTACTTAATGTAAATAATTATTTACACGTATTGGAAATTTTATTTGGTTCTTTAGATAGTTCATTAAATAAAACTATTAAAATGAAAAAGTGCAAATTAATACATAGAATTAAATATAGTAAAATGAAAACAGATACAGCAATATTAATAAAAAAAGAAATAGATGAGCACATCACAAGACAAAACAAAAACTTTTATCCACAACAAAATTTTCATCTAGAACAAATGAGACCGCACTATATGGAGTGCTATGAAACTATTCAAACACAAAGACAAGTTAAAAAAAAATTACAAAATAATGAGATGATTGGATTAGAGAATGTGTATATGAATACCCAGTAAGCACGCGACATCAGTGCAATAGTCGCACTGATGTCGCGCCGGCGACATGAGACATCGCCGCGTCGTAGTCACGAATGTGTTATTGAGATGGATTCTACACTTGAATCAACATCGCATCACGATATCTCTCTCGCGACCACCGTACGACATCTAAGCAATATCCAATTTTAGTATAAATGCAAGCATAATTTTTTTACAGAATTAATAGACAATTTATTAGAAAAGCATTTATTTATTTATAATAATTACAAATTATTGAAAGATTACAAATTGGTATGACAAACGTTTACAGATAATTCTACTTTAAAACAGTCATAAATAACATAAATCCTAATTATAATTGAATGAGAGATATGAAATATTAAAATGGTCATATCATACAAAAACCTATCACCCGTTTTACATGGAAGATAGGTTTTATAAAAGCCCTTTTTGTCAGTTTTTAATTTGATGAATAACAAATACATTGAACAAAAAATAAATATTAATATATTTAATATCAAACACATTTAATAAATTGTAGCTTTATTCATAGAAAAAAGAATTAGAGGTTTCTGAACATTTTGGCATACCATAGAAGCAATGGATGTATGTGTGTGTGTGTGTGCGGATACAAATTTTCGTTGACGATTTTGTGAACACGGATCAACCGATTTGAATAATTAAAGAAACATTCGATTTTTACTGATAAGAAAACGTGCTGATTAGTTTTTGGCAAAGGCAGGTCCAGCTGTTTCTGAGATACGGGGCAAAATGTTCCAAAAACGGTAACTCAGTTTTTAAGAGAACGGAGCGTCCGATTTTAATAATTCAAAAAACATTTTAATTGTATTGACAAAATGAACAACTGGTCAAATTTTTGTAAAGGCAGGTCCAGCGTCTCCGGAAATACAATAAAAAAAACTAAAAATAATGCCATTTGGCGGTCAAAACTGAACATTAGACATATGTACATCGTATTATCAGATATTATATAAAGATTATAACTAGCTGTAAGTGGAATTCTGTCTTAAGGCAAATTGCTGGAACTTCCCGTACCAAAAATCATTATTTTTTTAAAAACGATTAACATTTTTGAAAAAAAATTACTTTGAAAAAATAAGATTTTTGAGAAACTATAAATTGGACAAAAAATTACTATTTTTTGAAAAAAAAAATTTAAAAAAAAATTTTTTTTTTTAATTTTTTTTCTTTATTTTGACATATTGTGGAAGATCTGAACTTTTTTTTCAAAGCAATCGTACTGCTTTAACTGCATAGGGACAAAATATAAAGCGCGTAAGCGCCGCGTCGCTGTCTAACGCATCAGCATTGGTACGGAACCCATAAGAATGTTAACTTAATGTATACTTATTGTTAAAATCTCTATAAAATATCTGATAATTTGATGTGCATATGTCTAATGATTATTTTTGACCGCCAAATGGCTAATTTTTTTACTTTTTTCTCCATATCTCCGAAACCGCTAGACCTACCTTCATGAAAATTTTGTCGATTCTTCATCTTGTCAATACAAGTGAAATGTTTTTTGAATTTGAATTTGAGAAATCGGACGCTCCGTTCTCTTAAAAACTGAGTTACCGTTTTCGGCACTTTTTGCCCCGTATCTTCGGAACGGCTAGACCTCCCTTCGCCAAAAACTAATCAGCACGTCTTCTTATCAATACAAATCGAATGTTTTTTGAATTATTCAAATCGGTTGATCCGTGTTCCCGAAATCGTCGACGAAAATTTGTATCCGTACATACATACACACACGTACATACATACACACACACACACACACACATACATGCATTTTTTCTAAGGTATGCCAAAATGTTCAGAAACCTCTGAAACGTAAAGATATATAAAAATTTTCATTTTTGTTTTTTTTGCGATTACTATAATTTGCCCTACGGGAAGTTAATAATTCAGTTTTCGGTACGGGAAGTTCCAGCAATTTGCCTAAAGGCACGATGCCACGCACCACCAGTTATGCAATTTGGATTAAGAAAACATCCCACTTATGTCTAGTCATATCTTTTGATGTATAAAATTCACATTCAAAAGTAACGTTTCTCCTTTTCGTTTCGTCCGTCGTCCGTCGGCGGCGCTGCCGTCTCCCTAATCTGACAGCTCCCACCGCTGTGTGTCGCGTCCCGTCCCATTGACGTCACTCGCTTACGCAGCGCGGCCATGTTGGAACGTGAGCGATCCACCGATACAGCTGTCATGAGAGTTTTTCAAGACAGCAGTCGTTAGTCCCAATCGCTTCGCAAGTGGTGTAATAATTCCAAGGATCGGGGTTCGAGTCCCCCCGACAGGATAGTGTTTGTGTGATTGTGTCGTCGAAACAAGCAACCGACAGTGTGAAAAGTGTTTTTAATAAATTTCGGCTATTAGAATATAGGTGGTTAATATGGCCGGCCAGACCATCAACGATAGATTGCTAGCGGCGAGGCACAGTATCGCCGGCCAAGGGCTGGCGAAGTCCGTCTGCAAGGCGACCACGGAGGAAATGATAGCCCCCAAAAAGAAACATTTGGACTGTGAGTAGTTTATAATTGACGTAGGAATAATTTACGTGTTTGGGGCCGATGGGGCGATCGATAGATAGATTGTACGTTGGGGGTACGTGCAAGGGGCGGATCGGGGGATGACGGGTTGGCGGAGGTCGGATGCACGAGGTCCGAGGAACTTGATTGATTCTAATTCGATTCTTATAAGAATGCTAATTGTGTAATGTACATCTAGTCTAAAGAAACAAATATTTCTTGAATTCCCACGATTGCAAGTATTGCACGACATTCTATATTAGAACTAAATTATCATATAAAAATGATGCAGTTTTATGCACTTACATGAAGTTAGTGCATTTATCACATTATCTACATAAACATTTTATTTACAAATTTCTTAATACCTTTATCTTCATTTACCACGATTTTTACGAATCTGCAATCTCCAAGCAATATGTAACAACTATCCATTATAATGTTACCAAAAATGGATTCCAAACAGAATCTTTTATTTTTTCATGGGCCCTCGAGTTGTTGACTAAAAGGTGTAACCTTGTCCTTAACAACCATGGCGGATGCACCTCGTGATCATAATTTTGACATATATTTTATTTCAAACTAGAATCTCTTGTAATGTAATCTACTGGTAATAGTTCTTGTATTATTCTTACTAGATTCCAGTTTGAAGAATGCCTTTCTTACTTTCTTCCCAAGCGTCCTTGCCATGTGTCATTGGACTTTTTTCTCACATTTTTCTCACATATCTTATTTGCTTAGAAATGCTATACTAAATTGAATCTCGAATTTTGTAATTGTATTATTGTAAGTCAGTAACATATTTATTTTATTGGCTTACTTAGAGCATTTAACCACCTACAAAATTTTATATTCTATACTATATTTATATATGTATCTATACATACATACATATTTTTATATGCATCCTTTTCTATCATGTTTCTCATTCCAACTAATTTCTTCATTCTTCTTTTTCTTCTAATCCTGTTTTTTTTTATACTATATTTATATGTGTATATCATATTCTATTTCCTATTCATATTCTTCTTTATTCTTCTACTTTATCCTTCTTCTTTATTCTTCTTCTTTATTCTTCTTTTCTTCTAACTTCTAAATCTATTTAATCTCAAATCAATTCAAGTTCTATTTAATTTCTCAGTCAATTAACAATTTACATATTATACTTAGTCTGTTCAAAAACGCGTTTTATAAATTCTTTTGAAAAGTGTTATATTAAAAATGGATTTACAAAAAACCTATGCAAAGTACTAGAATCTTATTGCATCATAAAATTTTGCCAAATTTACTGTATGAATCAATTAAGTATGAATCTAACTAAATTCAGTCATTAAACAGCTGTTGCTGTAACAAAATATTAATACACAGAAAAAAATTAAAAAAAATATAATAATGTTACTAAATTGTTATCAAACTTTAGTTTGATACAACACGTTAAAAAAAAACATTACAATGATACCAAATTGTTATCAAACTTTAGTTTGGTACAACATGTTTATCATAATTGTATTTTCAGTTATATATAATCTACATTATTACGACTTTCCTGATTCTTAAAACTTTTCATTGAAATCATTATTGTGATGGTAATCAATTATTTCTTTTCTTACAATATACAAATATGTTTTTGCTAGTTCTGGAAATTTTTCCTTAAGGTATTTTTTCTGATAGACAACAATCATTTCAATGAATTGAAGTCTTACAATTGCAATTAATTTATAAAAGAAGTTCTAACGAACCTAAACTTTTTTTCAGGTTTGAAAAATATGTTATGTACATTTTAATAAAATTTAGTAGAATGGTCAATTTTTTTAAATACAAGTATACTTACAATATACATTTTAAAGATTTTCCTAATCATCGAAACTTTTCATTAAGACTAAGAAACATAAAATTTTTATGATAGTCTTCAATTATTCCAATGAATTTTGCCTTACAATTACAATTGATTTATAAAGAAGCCAATTTTTATTTAGCTATGAGAAGTATATTAGATTCTAATAACATTTTGTAGAATGGTCAAAATTTGTTTATTATTACATATAACCTTGCAATATACATAATTACGACTTATCTAATTTTCGAAATTTTTGTCATAGTCCATAATTATTCGCGCGAAATTTATATAACAACTTCAACTGATTTGCAAAAGAAGTTCTGATAAAGCAATTTGCTGAATTTGAAAATTATCGAAATTTGTAGTTAAATCAGTTTCATCTCAAATTAGGCTCTGAAAATGTTCACACAGTAATTTAAAATTAATTTTCGTTAATTGCACGCAATTATATACAATTTTTATAAAAATTTTACGTAAATTTCCAAAAGTTGTCCAAAACTCTTACCATTTTGTATAAGTGTCTCTGTTTCAATTTCGTTCTCTCTTTCTTACGGTTTCGTTCTTTCTCTCTCTCTTTCTCTCTTACGGTTTCGTTCTCTCTCTCTCTCTTACGGTTTCTGTCTTACAATTTCGTCTCTTACAAATTCTGTCTTACAATTTTGTTTCTTACAATTTTGTCTCTTACAAATTCTGTCTTACAATTTTGCCGTTCACAATTTCTGTCTTATAATTTTGTCGTTCACAACTTCTGTCTAACAATTTTGTCTCTTACAAATTCTGTCTTACAATTTTGTCTCTTACAAATTCTGCCTTTTACAATTTTGTCGTTTACAAATTCTGCCTTTTACAATTTTGTCGTTTACAAATTCTGTCTTACAATTTTGTCTTTCACAATTTCTGTCTTACAATTATGTCTCTTGACAAATTTGAATCTTTATATTCAAAATTAGGAATTTCAAGGCGTTTGTAATGAGCAACTATATATAATTTTTAATTTGGGATATAGATTTTGCTCAATAATATCGGTCTGTGTATTTTGCTTTCTGTAGTTCTATTGACACTTTTATGTCCTGTAATAAAATCTAGGTGATTATTGTAACTTTGTTTTTTTTCTGATTGTTATGAATTATTTCTTCTAATTTATAAAACTTACATTTACTGAATTTATTGAATTTTGTGTATTTAATTTTAATTCAATTCAAAGTCACTCTCAAGTCTGTACATTTTTGCATTTAAGTAAAACAATCTTCAACGCAGTTGCTAACTATTATTTCAAAAATAAATCGTTTATTATCGTTACAATTCGTTTTAATCAGTGTATAATATTACCCTTTACAATATAATATAAACTTTTATAATCTTACATTTTAGTTTTGTCTTCAACTTACATGCTTCTACAAAATCTCGTTATCTAAAAACATTGATTTTTAATAAAATCACACGCGCCACGTTGTAAACATAATCGCAAAAAGTCAAAAATGAAAATTTTTGCGTATTTTTACGTTTCATATTTTCAAATTTTGAATTTCGAAAAAAAAATCAATTTTTGGTACGAAAAGTTTCAGCAATTTGCCATAAGGCACAATGCCATGCACCACTAGTCCATTCCCATGCCTGGAAATCTTTATAATTACTTTATTCATTTAAGACGAATCGAAACGTTTTATATTTATGCCGCCTCGTAAATTTTACATTCAACGACATTTATATTCTTGGAATGTAATAAATAGCCATTACAATCCTTTATCGAATTCCATGAAGTGACTTTTTGTTACGAAATACTTTTTGATAAAATAAATTACACGAGATTAAAATTAGTACAATCGTATATTATTTGCATTTAATATATTTTATTATGCATTATTTTATTTGATTCTCTAAATGTATTAATTAGCATGAGCAAGAGAGCTTAATTGAAATGCAAAGTCCGACCGGTCTGTTAGTTTATTTTGCATTTGAAGTAATCGTACCAGAGTTTCTCAAAATGTCGGTCGCAAAAATAAAAATGTATTGTAAAAGATAAGAATTTGAAGGACTTTCATATTTTAAAATCTTCGAACTAATTACGGATAATTGATATTGCTCAAAATATTTTTTCAACAATGCACATACAAGAATTTTATCTTGATTAGAAGTTTAAAAGTAGAAACTATACTATGGTGGATTTCTCTATATAATTTCTTGATAATTTGTGTTTTCTAAAATCATTGCTTCAATATTGTAATTTTACAATTTTATTGAAAATTGCAAAATTCTGTTGATATTGCAAATAAACCTAACCCAGCACGTGGTTAGCTTTATATCATTGAGTTAGGTTCGTTTCTTAATATTAACTATATCATCATAAAAAAAGAAAACACAACTGCAGGAGTTTCACACATAAAATGTAACTTCACTCTTATGTTATTATGCCACATCACAAAGATTTTTTTCATGTTTGTGCGTTTTCTAGGTTAGTTTTCTATCTAAAACTCTTGACTGCCCAGCAAACCACATACAGTTTTTAGTACCATTTTATATGAAAAACTCAGCGTAACATAGTCTTGCCATAATTGGTTTATTTTACGGCTGAATTGGCTCATAAATCGAGTTGATATAATAATTTCGGACAACCTACTTCAAGCATAATATAGTAATATCCATTTTTACTGAAAAATAAAAAACAAAATGTCTTCAACTGAAAATAGACATTACTGCAATCGGTTAAAATTTTTCATCACCATTCGAACAATTATAAAATCGAATAATCAAGAATAAGAATAATAAAAGAATTGAGAATAAGATTAATAAGAGAACTAAGAATAAGAATCAGAATAATATGAGAATCGAGAATAAGAATAAGAATAGTAAAAGAATCGAGAATAAGAATAAGAATAATAAAAGAATCGAGAATAAGAATAAGAATAATAAAAGAATCGAGAATAGGAATCTAGAATAGGTATAAAATAAAAGAAGCAAGAATAAGAATAATAGAAGAATCTAGAATAAGTATAAAATGAAAGAAGCAAGAATAAGAATAATAAAAGAATCTAGAATCACAATAATAAGAGTCAAGAATAAGTATAAAATAATCACAATAAAAATACAGGTGTGTCAATTATTGGGTAGCCTTTTACAAAATCCAAGTAATCGAGAAGTATCATAAAATCAGTATATA